ATTCACTTAGTCTCCAAACAACTGTATGAGTCTATTGTAAAATACATTATTATGGATCATATAGTTTTGTGCACTTGCAATATCAACTAGTTATTATTAGGTTTTGTACCTTCAAAAGAAAAGGAAAAAAGATACCCTAGCTCCACCATTTATTGAGTGTTTTTTAGTCTTCTTTGCAACCACACAATAGATATAGGTAAAATTTCCTCATTCCTTAGCAAAGAGAATTTCTCCAGATCTTTATGGAAGTATCAAGCAAGGTTCTGAATACCGTACCATACCGATATACCGATTAGTTATCGGTATGGTACGTACCGAGTGTACCAACACATGATACATTAAGGTGTACCGATGTACCGCTCGTATCGAGCGATATGATACGATATTGCAAACCATGGCATCAAGCAAGTAGAAGTTACAGCATTATCTTCATAACATGGACACAGTTTAATTACTTGTACAATTAACTCTAAACATTAATTCAGCAACCATTTTCAGGGCTTATTTTATGCAATATAGGAATTTAAAAACTGCACTGTAATAGGAAAGAAGTATGAAATAAAAAATAAAAAACCAAGCCTCTAAAACAGTGTCTCGAGATGTGTATCAAAAAAGCAAAAGAAATATTCCATATATGAGTAGTATGGATAACATACAAAAGCCTGTCATACCTTGGGCATAATAGGAATGTCCTTCAGCCCCCACTTTGGCTGAAAACCAATTCCTAAAAATCCAATCCCCATCTCCTCTGCCACAGCTTTCACCTATCGAATAGCAGTAAATAAAAATAAAGTAACAAACCACACGAATCTCATTAAAGACAAACATTTAAGTCATATATGAATTATTCAATCATGCAGCATCATTCTTCCCGTAAGATGAATGACAGTCTTGTTAGACACAAAACATGTAAAAAAATGCTGAAGAACTGGAAACCTTATGGTAAAGTCCTTAGTTTGATAATATTTTTGCAGTGATCTACGAACTTCTGTGACAAGGCAATCTGAGAAATTTTCTTAACATATTATGAAATATACATAAATGAATTTATACTTAACAAGGAGAAGCCTGCAGAATTAGAATCTGACCTGATAAAGATGTGAGTTAACCTCAGCACAAGTCTGGTGAAGCGTCTCAAGAGGTGCACCACTAAGCTCAAATTGACCACCAGGCTCTAATGAAATGTTTTGTTTACCCTGCACAATCAAATACCAATCTCTTCCTCGTGAATGTCAAACAATCATATATATAACTACATTATAAAGATGATAACTTGAATGTACCACACGGCTACTGTCCTATATTTTCCAATAGAACATGTAACAGAGGCTTGCAATGAAAATGATGTAGTCATTTGCTCATTAATCTTCGAAGTACTAAACTGACACTGGGTGGTCGAGTACACGATGAAAAATCATCAGAATTTAGGATTATGAATAAATGAGACAATAAGAAAGGGCTACACTATACAAACATGGAGATTCATGGATGAGGTCATCGAGTTGGTATAATCACAGTAGAGTCACCCCATAACTCAAACCTATATTTACTTAGGTGTACAAACGTAGAGGTTGATGACTCAAATCTAAAAGAAATTATAGAAAAAATCAATAAACTTAAACTTGGCTTAGTAGGATATAATTGTAGGAATCTGGAGAAAAAGTAGAAGGCCAAATACTATAAGATGAAAAAAGACAGCATAAACTGGCTAGCAGAGGGAAATGCAAGCATAAGTTGAAAGTATCTCTGAGGTGTTAAAGTTGGCAAAGTTGTCTTTCGGTGAAATGAAGGATGGCTCTTTCACCTGCTTGAGGCCAATAACATAATCTCCTTCCACTATTTTATCCCAATCAAATCTCTCTGCTATAGCATTCAGCAAGTCTGCAATTTGTTCATATTTCATCGGACATAAAGTTCCAACTTCAAAGCCAAACTTCTCATGTTCAGTCCCAATTCTGCCACACAAAAAAAAAAAGTGAAACTACTAACTGCAGATAAAAGTGCAGAGTCCCAATATGCCAAAAACAATGACGCTACCCTAAAAACCAGAATGCATAAAAAGTTGAGTAATTCCAAAAATTAAACAACAATACATCAACTTGAACTACATTTATGACAAAGAGAAGACAAACATTCGAGGACTGGAAACAGGCAACACAACTGAACACTGAACAAAAGCATATAACCAAGGAAGACTGATACATGAAAAGAGCAAATCGATATCCAGTTTAGGAGAGCACCCAAAAAAAATACATGAGATCACCTTTCTCTTACCTTCGATGGTATCCTAGAAGTAAAATTCCGAAATAACTTCACCCTGAAGTCCTAGAACTTAACAAGCAGGGATAGGATGTAGTTGGTCGCCACATATGTCATGGTTCATAGATACTTCAAAAAGTATCATCAGATGTACTAACTATGAAGACCAGACCACAGAACACATGATGCCCTTTGTATTTGCTATGACAACTTTTTGGACAGATCAAACAAATATAACATCTCAAGGAAACACAAAAATGTTCAAGAAGCAAGCGCGTTTCCACAAGTAAAAGAAGTATCATAAGCAAATCAAAGTTGCAGAGGGTTCTGAGGCAGCGATTTCAAGATGCATACCGCCACATTTCCTTGGGCTTGCAACCGGAAGCGAGGTACCCAACGAGGTCCTCTTTCGTCAACGGCTCCGTTATCACCACGGCGTCATCCGTAGGAGGGCTTGCGGCAACAACCATCCCGCTCGTTCTTCCATATCCTCGAGCAACCCAACGCAAACCTTGCGACCTCCTCTCCCCATGCCGCACCAAGGAATCGAACCCCACAAAGACTCCTCTCCTTTTCAAAGCACCACCACGTTCCGGACCAAAACCGGAACCTAAATTCTCAGAGAAGTGAATTGGATTGACAAGCCAACCGGAAGCCGCCGCCATTACTTTGACCAACCTCCAAGGAGAAAGAGCGAGAGATCTCACGTAAAAACAGCAGAACGACAAAAAGCTAGACAAAAAGACAGCGATTCTTGGACCGGAGTCTTGGATTAGTAGCGCGAAAAGAAGAGGAGAGTCGAGAAAGAGGTATCACCTCTAAATCGATTCAAGATCCCTTTCTCTACGCTGGCAGCAGCGGCGGCGGCGGCGGAGGACAGACGAGTGGACTGAGGAAGTGGGGGCGATGGGAGAGCCCAAACGGAAGGGAAAGGGGGTAGGGAAGACGCTGTTTAGTGGCGGGCAGCCTCCGTGCTCGCGACGCGGCCCATTAGCTGCCACGTGCATCCGCCTCGGGGCCCCATTTCTGGCACATCAACCTACCATTTTAAAAGGCGAGGAACGATTCGCTGCTTTCAGTTTTATTACAATATATGACACGCGGAAATTACGAAACTGACCGGGCACGAATACGTTCGATTTATAAAGGATAATCTATACAGAAAATTCTTTATTAGATTTATTACATAAATTTATATTAAATCGGATTAACTTGAATAATTTCTTAAACAAATAATTGAAATATAAAGATAAAATTAAACATTTTTAATTGATTAAAAGTAGGATAAAGAATTGTATATATTGTTTGGGATTGAATATGGGTTTCATTGCAATCTTGGAATTGGAATGGTCAGATCAATTTGATTCCGATTCAATTTTCATTCGAATCGAACGATGATGAGCCCTAATAATTATGTCCAAAGGTCCGATCCAAGATTGCATGCAGCTCGTAATTATCCTACCGACTGGCCGTCCAATACGTGTCCAAGACAACGATGATTGCGAGTATTATATAACGAGGTCCGATCCCATTATAAGCAGGAAGATGAATCTGGTCCGGCATCCCTTGCGGATTCAGAAGCGTCACCGCTCCGATTCCGTACACGAAGGTAGTCCCATCATCACGTGCCCACTTAATCGTCCTTTAATCATTCTTAAAAGTATTTTAATCATTCTTTTTCCCGCTCGATCAAAATTACAAATCTTGCGTAGGTGCTTACGTCTCGATGCTCTCCGATGACGTCATCGTTGCATCAAAATCTGTGTTGGGGTGCTTCCGAGAAGTGGATTCCAGATCGAAAGAAGAGGAACGAGAGGGAGGAGACGTGATGCGGACATCATACCAAGTACGTTGGGGACCCAAATCACTTTATGCACTGCTGCTATTCGGTGGACGGAACGAAGAGAGTGATAGGCCGAGAATGCAGCCAATGAACACTACTGATTCACATCGCAATCGGTTGTAGTATACTCTGTCGTGCTAACTTAAACGGATGTCGGCACGGCTAGATTTCATCCCGAAGGTATAAGGTCGTTCGCACGAGGATCCGAAGATGTAACGATACAATCGGGTTGGGTCGAGAAGAAGTTTCACCGATCGAGTCGAGATAGACCTTTGATTACTATTTCTTTTTGCGAAAAAATATCGATTTCGGGAGGGAGATTTTTGACTTGACCCCTCGAAAATTTAAATTGGATCCATTGTGGTATTTTTCCTCCCCTCCTGTCTGTGAGGATGAAATTGACTTTTATACTTGTTTATCGTAAGGTTGATTATACGAGACTCGTTAATGATCCATGATATCTCGGGAGGTCGATCCATGCTTGTCGTGCGACGTGGGTCGACTTATATGACTCTGCGTCATGCGACGTCATCTTGCGTTATCGTGGATGGTTCGAAGTAAGACAACACCACCTTGTATAGATCCATGATTTAGTAGTGCATCAACAACTAAATCAAATACGTAGAGAGGAAGTATTCCATAAATCTAAATATGTTGATTAGTTTAATTATTAAAGATCTTCTCACGTGAGAAGAAAATAATAGTATCAAATTCTGTCTTCATAATTTATCTTTCATATAATATTATTTTAAATTAATTATTTCACATATTTGAGTCTTACCTCGAGCAAGCATATATATATATATATAATTTAATTCTTCGTATGGATATTTCAATAACGAAATACACACTACGATATATGCGTGCTTGCTTATCAATACGTGTCTTGTATCAGCAATTACAAACGCCTCGTTTTATTGGTAAACAAAGGGTCATTATGAAGTAACGCTGTAAACTCTCCTTTTTCCACACACACAACACGAGGAGGAGCACCACCACAAAGAGGAAGCAACGCCGTGGTTCGGTCATGCCCTGTGCTTTAGTTTGGGCACTGCCTTGGGCTTCGGCTCATGCCCTGGGTTTGCTCGTGCACCGCCGTAGTCATTCAACGAAACCGTCAATGATCGTGGCTCTCCGGTGCTCCGCCCTGTTCAGTTCCATCACAACAATGATGCGAGTCCACGCAGAAACTTACACAGAATGGAAGGAGCAGAGAGAGAGAGAGAGAGAGAGAGAGAGAGAGAGAGAGAGAGAAGGAAGCATCAGAGCGACTACCGGAGACAGGATGCGTGAAACCTACGCCGCAGAGTAAGACGACGACGACGACGAAACAAGGGAGCCATCGAGATCCGAGCGAACGAGAATCCATCGTGTCTTCGGCGTTGCACAGGGATGGTGTGGGTTCGTTTCTGTTATATCCACGGGCGATGAGCAAGGAAAAGCCAGCGACGTGCCGAGCTTACATCCGCGGGGAAAGAGACGACCATCAACAGGTCGTGCGAGCCACGCAGCGTTAGGATGTCATCTCGCCGCCGACGCCACCTTATAAAGGGTGAGACGAGATTTCCACCGCAGCTATATGAACGACAGTTGGATCAACTGGTCGTACTGTGTATTTTAAATTATTTTTTAATAAATAAATTAAATTTACCTATAATAAAAACTAAAAAAAACTAAAACTAATTTAAAAATTTGTAAAGAAAATAATATCAACATAAACATGGATGATAATAAATCACATCGATTTTAATCTGTTTCTCGTATTAATTATAATTTCATACTTGATGTTGAGATGAGCATATTAACGATCAATCATCATCTAACATGTAAGCGTCATATAAAAATTCGTGTGGAAGAAAAATAACTTAGGTCATTCGCGCCTATTTGCTTGCATGGATAAAAGTCAAAGATAAATCATTTAAGGTTATCTCTTCTGTACCATCCATCCATATGAATAAAATCAATAGAGATGTTTAAGCAGTTATAGGATGTCTCCTTTAAAGCCCAATACAAAAGGTGATCCTAACACTATGCTAAGAGCTCTCCCCTTTACCCCCTTAAAAAAAATCATATTAATTTTAAACCTCGTACTAACTTGAGCATCGGAAAGATCAGGGTGAGAAACTTCTCTCGACATTAGCCTAAGTATCGATGGTACCACGGGACTCGATGCTTCCGCTTCGAAGCCACCTCAGAATCATCTACAAGCCACTTCGAACACTTCAATGTCTTCGGATTTGGACCACGTTGGTTTTATTTTGACTTCGACGACGATTTTCTCTAACATATATAAATATCATCTTAAACAAATAATAAAATATTTATATTAAATATTTTAAATAATCATTCATTATATTACACGATTGAAACGATTTTATATAACCAGAATTATGTGAAATGTTTATAAATGTACAGAGTCAATCAGATTTTTGATGGTTTGATTAATTTCAACCTTCAAGGTATGAGATAATAAAAGTAATAATCAGTTAAGCTAGCTGATACGATCATTATACTCTTGGCATATTGAATATTTATGATATTAAAATAGATTCATGACATATTGAATATTTATGATATTAAAACAGCATTTTCTTAGGCATACGTAATTTATTCCCTCGGACGATGTCAAGGGCAGCGTCTGATCCTTACACATGGCGGCATCATCATGAGACGATGATGAGATCCGGACCGTCCGTGGTTCGTCGATCTTTGGTCTGCTTTCTGAATTCCGAAGGACAACTTATTTCCTTATTTTCCTCGCTTTCCTTCTTCCTCTTCTATATTCCTCCATTTCCCCGGGGAAGAGGCGACGACCGACCGATCTCTCGGAGCCATCTTTCGCTCGTCGTCCTTCGATCCCACCTGCTTCCCTCGCGCGGCATCTACACCCCGATCCGATCGTAGCCGAAAGATCGGCGTCGACGCCAAGATCTTGCCGATGGACGCCATGCGCTTCATCAAGAAAGTCCTGAAGCAGGTATTCGGCAATATTCCCGATCCGTCCATCCTCTCGTTGTCTCGTCTTTATTCCGTGCAATTCAGTCATTGTGCTTGCGACGGGACTTTGAGCTACCCAAGCTCCGAGAAAAAATGTGGGGACGAGAACAAGAGGGAATCTACCAAATTCTTTGGTTCTTGGAATTTGGTTCTGAGAACAATTCGTTTAATAACGATTGAAGCAGCTAACGAAGCGACAATCTTACGGCATCTGTTGACATTATATTAGGCGGTCACCAATTTTTGAGTGGATCGCCGAAATTGATCATATATGCGGACATCAAGATATTCTTGTTATATGCATTGTCTACCCTGTTATCTTACTCGACTAAATGGCTTACTATGCTCGTAGATGGTTTTCTTTAACAATATATCTTTGTTAAGATGAAATCACATCAGGGTTTGGCGTTCTATGATAAATGCTGCAGATAATAGGCCACCTTAACAGTAAGGAACAATAAACGAGAAAGAAATGGTGAGGAAAACAACAAACGAAGAGTAGGGTCTCCTATAAGATGAGAAAATAAATTACAAACGGGGTAATAGAGAAGGGGAGAGATAGGGTTAAAGATCAGTTGGGCAAGATAACCAAGCTTCGAAGTAAGCAATAGATATTAACATCGCCACCCTCTCAGCCAGCCGCATGTGCACGTTTATAGATAGCATCAATCTAGTCAAACTTAGCGGGACATGGATTTTACCTTCTTTGCCTCCTCCTTGATAAACTCCTATCTAATAACAAACTCTATTATTTGATCTCAGTCGTATTAGAAAAGTCAAAACATCAGAATAAAGAAGGTGCACAAAGACATAATCAAAAATACCAAAAACTGAGAATATGTGACAACTTAACTCTGTATTGTAAATAGACTCTAACTAATATAATCGGCCATCGCTTGCATGCCTTATAATTAGTGTTTTTATTGTCTTCTAACTTCCAGATTGTGTGCTTTATTTTATATGAGCATATGCTATTTAAATTTAAATTTAGATCACCAAATTGTTGACTATATATTTCCTTTCCTTAACAGCATACTGAAGAGAATGAACATACTTTGTCGGGCCTTGCTGCTCAAGTCACAATTCACTATGGCATTCCATATACTGCATCTATTTTAGCTTTTGATCCTATTCAGAGACTATTGGCAATTGGAACTTTGTGAGTACAATGATGCTAATTCATCGACTATGTTTTGTGCTGTCTATGTTTCTGCTGATGCTAGGTTATATTTTTTATGTTTTTATTAACAGTGGGTTATGTTTGCTTTGGGAAAGACATGGATGATCCTCTAATGTCCATGGGTTCTTTAGTAGTTACATCTTGATAAGGAGGATAGTCTAGAGGGTTGCTCTTTTAACACTTGCATAGTAACTAAAAATTTAGAAACACATTTTTAGAATAAATAACCATTATTAATTTTAGGCAAGGGCAAAAAGATTATACTTTGCAATTATAATGGACTTGAGGCTCAGCTGGGCCAAAATGACAGTACTCACAATACTCATAAGGGACATGTTTAAGTAAAATTTATGTCTTTTTTGGAAAACTGAAGGTATTTTCTTCATATTATCCGTGTTTATATTTATGCATAATTACATAAGTCATGGATATCCATCAAATTGGCACAAGGTGCTTTAGGGCTGTGTTTATGATGGTGATCCGCTAGATACCTTTCTATGCATATATACTAAAATGTATATGCAAAGATCTCTTTCTCTCTCTCTCTCTCTCTCTCTCTCTCTCTCTCTCTCTCAGCCTCCATGTATATATCTGTATGTGTATGTTTTAACATATTAATATGTTTGCGTAAACAATAAATTTTGATATCATGCAAAAGATCAACAAATAATTCTATCTTTTGGATGATCTATTTCGAATAATATGGTTGTAAATATTTTTCTCAGAAGGTAGGGTCAAAATACTGGTATCTTTGATTGCATATTTCTCTTAATTTTTCTTAAAGATTAAAAGACAATAAAGTAAAAGAGAATGTTGATAATCTGTCTACTTGCAATTTTTCTCACTGCAGTTGTTGTGGATGTTTGGCTAGCTTTGAATGAGTTTGTAAGACCTCTGTTAAATCTGGATCATATGTCCATTTCATTTCATGGGTATCATATCACCAAGTTTCATGGGAGTGCTGTCTGGGATACTTGATTTCCAATCAATAATGTTAAGTTACAGCTATAGTTGTTGGGGTAGTAATTAAAAATGAAAGAACTAGAAACAGAGATTTGAGAGGGGGATTAGAGGCTAGAGGGAATCTCATAAGAGGTAGAGGAAGAGGATAACCGTGAATATCGGGCCATAAAGATACCTAAAGTTCCATATTAACTTAATAACTCAATACATTGTAAAGACTCCAAATTAGGCTCATATTTACACTAACTAAAGGGACTCTCTAGAAGAGAAAAGAAAGAAAATAAAGATTATTCTGAACTTATTTACACTTCATTTCCTATCAGAATCTTCAATATTCTATCATATAAAAGTAGATTTGGTTTCCTGTTACCATTGCTTATCCTGTTCAAATCTGGTGTTTGTTTTGGCATCACAATAAATTGATTATGTACCCAAATTTGCACTGCATAAGTTGTACCATAAAATAAAGAAAACATCAGCACCTGATTAAGTAAAAATAGACCCACTATTTTTCGTCCTAACCATTAGACTTAATGTAATTCTTAACTGGACTCCAGATAGATGCAGACTTAAATCCAATCTTTACTATGTTCCGTGGCATATCATCGTGTGCCATATTTGTACGGCTTGGTTCATAAAAGTCCATTATGATCACTGATACTGATATCTGAAACCTAATGTATGAGCCAAGTACCCAACCCTTACAAGCAGAGAGGCTTTCAGCAATACTTATGTGCTTCTTAAATTTAGATTATTTCTTCACTTTATCCATTCATGGTGTTCAAAAGTTTTGGAAAACAATAGTTGAAGTCTTGAACTGTAGATTTATAGAAGTTATACATGCATGTGTGCCTTTATGCATTTTGTAAAATATGTTGTCTTCTACTCTCATTTACATGATGCTGAAAGTATGAGAGTCAGTAATGAGTTTTTGCATATGTATGTGCATGTTTATAGAATGTAGAAATGACATGCATGTGTATTTTAAAAGTTATTTTAGCCAATAGCATATTTTTGCTTTGTTAGTATATTTGCATTTCTTTTCTTATTCTTGTTTGTGTGCTAAACAATGGCATAACTTAAGTTTTATAAATAATGAGAGTACAGATGGATGCCTTTTGAACCTTAAATGGTTAAAGTTTTGACTCCCAGCCTTTTGCTTCATAAAAAAACTGATTCATGATATTTATGAGTTTCATAAAGTTATGCAACAAAAAATTGTCATATGTGTGCTCATGTTTAATAATCAAGCTGGCGGGTGGTGAACACTATAATCAACACTTTTGATGTTTGAAATGTGACCAATGCTCAAAATGTTATTACTAAAAGCTCAGTTTCTTTGTTTGTCTTTTTATGTAAAGAAAAAGTTTAGACATTAGTTTTATGCATCGTGCAACATGAAAGAATATGCTTTTCATTAATTCATTTATGCTTTATAGCAATCATTGCAATTTCAGTTGCTATGGTGCGAAATCACTGGTATTTACTGGCCTGACCGGCCATCGAGATGTGGACCAAGCCAATTTTGATTGTTCATACTTGATAGAGGTGTACCGTTCCAGATTGGAGATGTACCATCCAGTACACCGGGTTTTCTAGTCATACCAATCAGAATTCGACCGTTACCGATTGGTACCAGTAGGTAATGGTCAGATTTGGGTCAAATCATCCAATCCGACCACTGGGGCCTGGTTGCAGATCTACCACCTCTCTCACTCTCACAGATTCTTTCTCAAACTCATTCTTCCTCTCATTCTCTTGATTTCTTGGGTAACAATTGGGGAAGGTTAATTGGCCATTGAAGAGGGGTTTAATCTCAAGATTGATCGTAATTGTTCTCAAATCAAGGAAATCCGACACTTAATCTCTATGTTAATTTCATGTAATTGGGGCTAATTAGGGTCTTTGTTTATTTATATCCATTTTAGGGTAATTGATGACTCATTAATTACAGAATGTTCATGTAGTTAGAGCTTATTAGGGTCTTCTTCTTCCATTTATATCCATTTTAGGACTGGTGCACTGGCCCTAGTACACTGGTATGGACTGGTACTGTACCGATGTGCCCAATGAGATTGCATACCTTGCCTAATAGTATAGCCAATTGGCATCTTCTTCAGTGTTTTCTAGTTTCTACTTGCAAACTCTTCTGCCTAATAAATTGGCTTCATCATCTAATGATCATTTTTAAGCCAAAAAAAAAGAACCTATATACTCTCCTGACCTTTTATGGATAATTGGTTTTTCCTGTACTGCAGGGATGGTAGGATAAAAGTTATTGGAGGTGATAATATTGAAGGCCTTCTTATATGCCCAAAGAAGGTTCCCTATAAATATTTAGAGGTTGTGACTCTCGGCAATGTGCTTTTGTTTCTTCCTGGTTTAGTAGAGCTTAGTTCTGTTTGATAAGATTTCTAAACAGTATAGCATAATGGAACCTACAAGAAATAAATCTTCTTGTGCACCCTGATTAAATGAATGAGTCATTTGCTAACATGATTGAGGTTTAAATAGTCATTTTCTTAAAAAAGGTCTTTAAAGAAAATGGTGCAGCAATTAATTTTAAACACATACAATTGCTGGCGTTTGAACTTTGAAGTTCAGCCACATTAGAGAAAATCTGTTTTGAGACTTGTTAAGTATTTTTTGTCAAGATCAGATAGGCAATGAAAACTTTCTCTAGTGTGTTCCTCGGTAAATGAAGAACAAAACACATATCTTTCAACCAGGATCTGGTAAATTATTAAAGCATATGATGTGTATCATGATTTGTGCCATCTGTTGAATTATAATATAAATTGATAAATCCAATTCTGAAATATATGACCAAAAGTTCAGTAAGAATCAACATGTCAGCAAAAAGAAATATGAGAATGGAAGTTTAGTGAGAAAGGGTGAAAAAAATTGCAAAACATAAAGTTTCTAAAACTTAGGAGAGTTTCTTTTTGAATCAAGTAATAATGAAATACAATCAATCTCTTCATCCATATTTTTAGTTTATGCTTTCCCTTGGGAGTGTCAACTTTATTCTTCGATTTGAGGTCATTACTAACTGGATATTTAGAAAATGTAGGTATGTCGAAGTGATGTATTATTGATGCAACAGCATTGTCCTATTAAAGTTGCACTTAAAATAATACAGAAGCTAATGTTATTTGCTAAATGTTTGAGAATCGAATATTAACTACTCAAGTTTCTTGTATCACTTAGTGTCCTTGGAAAAAGAACATGATTTTACAAAATTCAGTTTCATGGTCAGCATTAATCATTCATGTTTATTGCTTTTGCATAGTGGTCATGAACATAAGGCTCAGCTGTTGGACATTGTAGATCGTAAAAGGTTAAGACTCAGCTGATTTCCCAGCACAATATATGTTGCATTAGATAAATATAATTGTATTTCGCTATATTGCATATATTGCTTGACATGATTTATGCCTACTTCCAATCTACATTTTTCTTAATGTGTCATTTGTGAAACCATAATTGTCCTTTGTCCTTTTTTCCCGACGTTAGTGTGTGTACATGTTCATTGATATACGTATCAGCATGGTTGGGAAATCAGAAGTCTCCTTTATTAAGAATATTTTGTTTTATCTTATGCTTTGTTCTAGTGAAATAAAATTTCTTTATTAAAGTGTAATTTTTCTTTGTTAGTCTCAAAACTTGTACTTTTTCTATTTCAGTTTCTACATAATCAAGGATTTCTTGTCACCATTACAAATGAGAATGAAGTCCAGGTACTAAATTTATAATTATAATGTTTGGTTTCTATAGCATGTGTAGTACTACTCCTCACATTATTTTGGATAGTAATACATTTAATAGAAATTTTATAACCATCTGCTGTTATTATATTGAGAATTGGCATTACAATACTGAGAGTGAGGCATTAGAGCTTTTGACCCCCTATAAAATAGGAGAGGTCTGATGGAGCATGACTTTGTCTGCTTAAATGCTGTTGTCTTCTTTCCTCTTTTGCGAATTTTGTTGTTACCTGTGAAATCCACATCCATTCTTTTGCAAATTTTTCCTTTGTTCTTTTGATTATGGTCATGCTTGAAACTTTAAACTTTCAGCAAAAATTCTTGCTTGTTGCGTGCATATATTCATGCATATATACATACCTACATTCCTTCAGGCATGTTTGTATACTCATATGCAGTAATACTTAAATACATAATTTTGACTTTGTTCTTTCAATTATGTTTATTTTTGGTTTTCTTTACATATTTATCCAGAACCTTGAAATTTCATCTCCTTGGCAGGTTTGGAATTTAGAGCTCAGGCAACTAGTTCATTGTTTTCAGTGGGAGGCTAATGTTACTGCCTTTTCTGTAATCTATGGGACCTACTTGATGTGCGTTTTTATTAAAGGAATTGCTTTACTGATTCTCATCAGTCAGCTGCTTGCTGGCTTGTCAGAAAAATGTTAACTAAATTACTGCTTTAGGTATATTGGAGATGAGAATGGGCTGCTGTCTGTATTGAAGTATGATGAAGAAAATGGAGAACTTTTGAAGTTGCCTTATCAACTTCCTGCTAATGCTGTAGCTGGTAGCTATTTCTCCTTAGAAACATGTGACAGAAATATTATATATGCTGCATTTTCTCTGAATTGATTGACTTCTTATCTTGCAAATCTCCACTCCAATTTTTATCTTGTTAATTGTGTTCTATGCTTGAAAATCACATTTGGACATGCATGCTAATAAATAAAAGGTGATAGTGAAATATATACTATAGTCTATAGTTCTTTACTTCTTTTGCATCCAATTGAAAATACAATGACTTTTTGATTGATTGCAACACAGGATGGAACTGCAGATATTTATTTTGGCCTTTCATGACCATCGTAAACATTCCGACCCTTGAAAATCCAGATACCAAATTTTACAGTGCAAATTGAGCCAGCAAAACATTCTGACCCTTGGAACATATCTAGCCTTGATGGTGAAGAGCATCATCAAGGTGATTCAAGAAAAAAATATTTTAATCCAAGAACAAGATTGTTCTCCATAAGAGATTTATAAATCCTTAGGTTTCGAAAATAGGGTAATGTAAAGTCCAAGGTTTGGTATACCAGTTGGTACACTGGTATAGACGGGTAAGGCGAACCATGATAAAGTCATCTACTTCCTTGATTTTCTAGCATTAAGAGGGCATTGAACTAAATTCTAGGGAGGTGGTGGTACTAGTTTCGTCACTTTCATCACACATTATATATTTTTGGAATACTGGGTGATAAGGGGAAAAAGTCAAAGAAATATATGATAGTGGCTATTCATTCTAGAATCAACTTATTCGGATTTTTTAAATGACACTGAGGCAAGAAATATATCAACCAATTTTTGACTTTACGATGAGCCACTTCTATTCATTTGTTGGCCTAGATCTCTGAATTCTTCAGGTGGCTATGATTTCTTACTTTTAGTACACATCAATAGAAACTGTAGGTGCCTGTAAATTTACTGGCTTGTTAATTATTAATTAGGCTTTGTAAATTTGCTTTATCATTCTGGTCTTACTCATTGGGAGCTAAGTTCCATTTCTTCCATTTGTTATGCTCTCTTGTTCTTTTAGGAAATCTTCTGTGTGCTCTCTACTGGGTTGGTGGGAGTGAAAACTGACATATCTATGTCATCATTTTCTTTTCTTGTTTAACCATTGTTGGCCTTTGTCATTTTAGCGGATTCATATTACATTTGGTTCCAGTGGAATGATATTGATGTTATTTGTGCATAAGATTTTAATTATATTTTTGTAATATTTAAATTTATGTATTGTGAAAAAAATCATACAGAAGCAGCTGGGATTTCCATTCCTGACATTCAGTCGATTGTTGGAATTCTTCCTCAGCCTGGTACTTCCTCGACTAGGTATGACATATACATGCCATTCCTGGATTGAAGCTTTCTGTTAATAATCTTGTTCCTTTCAAAATATTTTCTTCTCAGATTCACAGAATGTTTGCCTGTTATCCACAGTACTAACTCAACTCCATAAAAAAAGCTAGGAAAATGTTATAAGCTAAGGATGAATTTTATTGTTATGCAATTATAAATGTGCAATGTAAAATATGGCTCACTATGTGTTATTTGAATGTTAGAAGCCTTAAACCACTTGCGTTTGTTGAGTTATGTTGGTATTAACCCACTTATTCACCCTGGACTCCAGTGTTTCTACTTGAGAAATTGACTCAAGTAGAAAGGTGAGCAATTAATCAAATGTTAAAGATTCTTTTTTCGAGTATCAACACCTTACCAGTCACCAGCCTTGATAGTGTGGTACACTGATGTGGTCCTATATATATTGCTGGTACCAGTTATATTAAAAGAAAAATAAAAAACAGGAAAGACATACCTCTCCTCTTCTTCCTCTTCTCCTTCTCCACCTTCTTACCCTTTCTGAGTGCCATCTGGCTGGTACATAACAGACCATCCAGGGACCATTCAATTTTTTTTGTCTTTTCGGTCATAAATGAAACATGTGATTTGAAAACTAAATTTTATGTGTTGACTTATTCACTATCTTTTTCATGCTAATCAATACTTTGCTTTTTACCACTTCATTCAGAAGATATTGATAGAAATTGATGTAATCACTCACACCAGTTACGTGGTTGGCTCCCTTATTCTTCAAAGTGGACTTGAGGATCTAAACACAAAAATATTCAAGTCTTCGTTTTCATTCTTGCACTAGCAGAAATGATTCCTCTTTTTTTTTTAAATCAACCTATGCTTGTCTATTTTTGTGTGCCTTATATCAGTAAGATGTTTCTCACATGGTAAGTAATTGACTTTACTGCAGAGTGCTGGTTGCATATGAGAAGGGATTACTAATTCTTTGGGATATTCACAAAGGACAAGCTGTTACCACCAGAGGTCATACAAACCTGCAATTGAAAGGTGCAGAGGGCCCTGATTCTCTCAGTGAGACTAGTGATCAGCTTCAAAGCAATGCAGCCAACCATGATGGAGACAATGAAATTTGTTGTCTTTGCTGGGTATCTACTAACGGTTCAATTGCTGCTGTGGGTTACATGAATGGTGATATACTATTGTGGGACTTCTCATATAGTTTCTCAGTAAAAGGGCAACAACCCCAGATATCATCCAGTAATGTGATTAAGCTGCAGTTGGCATCAGGAGACCGCAGGCTCCCAGTCATTGTCTTGCACTGGTCTGCTAATTGTAAAGGAAATATCGATAAAGGAGGGCAGCTTTTTATCTATGGTGGTGATGAGATTGGATCTGAAGAAGTTTTAGCAGTTTGTTTATTTTCACTTTCTGTAGTTTTTTTTGTCTTATTATATAAGTAAAACTGACTTGACCATTCATCTCATGATATATTTAGAATAAGTTTCTTTGGTTCAGAGGCTTTCTATTTTGTTGTGGAACTGGCATTTATACTATCAGTTCGCTGATTTATTTTAGTTTTTATAAACATAATCAAGGGAGACACAACATGAGCATATTTGCTGACTAAGAAACTTTATTTATGGAAATTGGCTTTGTTCAACCACTATGTTGATTTTATGGTATCTAGATCCTAGAGCAAAGACAAACTTATATAGTGTAGATCGAGATATTTTCCTTTTCTTTTTTTGTCCTTTTGTAGTTTGGTTTACTAGATTATTTATACCGACATTTGCTGTACCGCCCGAGTCGGTACGGTACGAGCAGTATGAACTGGTCTGACTGGTGACCGAGATGTGGATCGCCTGAGTTCCTGTCGGCATGCCCTAGCGTATCGTGTGCCAGTACATCGGTATAGACCGGTACATACTGACCTGACAAATCACCGAGATGGGTCCGGTACCTGAAATAGCGAACCCTAATTTGTAAACTCAAAAGTCCTTCACTTTCTTTAAATATCTTCATCTGTGTTACTTACATACTTTATTTTGCATTAGTTAATTGTTCAGGTATCTGCTTGTTTCTTGTTCTTGACATGTCTAAATGTTTGTAAATTGTACTGAAGTTCTCATGTCTCTAGATATTGAAGTGGTGTCATATAACATACTAGATCATGTGTCAAGATTATAATGACACAAAGTGTGACTCTTTTAGAAGGTTAAGTGACTACAAAGAGGAACTTGTCAAATTTCTTTGGAATTTTGAAAAAATTGTGTGTTAAGTTTATTGCCGAATAAAAAAGCCAAATGCACTCAAAATCTTCCCCGGTAAACTTAGTCATCATTTTCCTCAAAAAAATCTTGGAGATATTAATAGTTGGAAAAGGGGATGATTACAGCTATGTTTCCTTGTGAGATTCATGACATACTCAACAGGCAGATCTAATACAGATAGTCTTATGGAATGTTTGGATTTGTTTGTACTTTGTAGAATTTTGGTAAGTGCAAATATGGCCTTCATGGTTCATCTTTTTTTAGAATATTATGAAGGCCAGGGACAAAATTGCTCCTGCATGAAGATGGAAGAGTTGAACACTAGGATTTAAATAATTAATTGGGACACATAAGTCATCATCCTAAGCAACTTTGAAAAACTAACAGTGTCAAATGCCTCAATTTCATTTATTTTTATGTCCTTTTATCTTCAGTTAACTAACTTCATCAACCTCACCTATTATGTGAACGTAAAAGATGATCCATTCAACATCAACATTTCAGGTAGATTTAAAAAAAACGAGGCATGATCCTTTGTGCACTAAGTGATAGTATTGACACCGTTTACAGGTTGGTTGTTGACAAAGTAATGAAATAAGCTTGGGTTTTAAGATTCCTAGAGCCTAGGTAATAAGAACGTTGCTTGAAGTTTAATGTGTTAAATACTTAAATGTTTCTATAGCTGGAGAATATGTGTATTCTGTCTAGATAGATTAGATTATTCCTTTCTAGTAAAGCTTTTATTATTTTGTAAAAGAACTCAACAATATGAGGAGATTCATATGACATATTGCGAAGTAATTTCTATTTATCAATTATTTAAATTACTTTCTCTGCAGGTTCTGACTCTTGAATGGTCCTCGGGAGTGGAGACTGTAAAGTGCATCTCACGTGTGGATCTTAATCTTAATGGATCCTTTGCAGACATGATCCTGATCCCTGATGTTGGTGCATCGGATAAAAATTCCACTGCTGCTCTTTTTGTATTGACAAACCCGGGGCAAATAAATGTCTATGATGGTGCTGTGTTATCAGTGTTAAAATCTGAGGGAAATCATTCTGCTCAAGCTGAAAATTTTCCACTAGTTGTACCAACCATCGATCCATGTATGACTGTGGCAAAACTTTGTCTGCTATCCAAGGGCAGTAGTGCTTCCAAGGTTTTGTTTAAGGTACTTAATCTAAATTTAGGTTTGAATTTGTAATAATCCTTATATGGCTTGTTCAACCCTTGCATTTTCTTTAGAAATTTTATGCTAGAACAACACGTTCGTCTACTCTTTCTGCGGGCACAAAGTGGCCTTTGACTGGTGGGGTCCCTCCTGAAATGTCCTATGAAGATTATGAGGTTGCAAAATTATTTATAGCTGGTTATCAAGATGGATCCCTTAGAATATGGGATGCGACGTATCCGATTTTAGGACTTATGTTTGTGTTAGAAGGAAAGGTTTGTGCCTCGACATTAAATAGCAAAAAACCTGTGAAGATTTTGTCGATGCTAGAACTAATGCTATTTAATGACAGCTGCCAGTGATTCAAGTGGATGGTGCATTTGCAGCAGTATCAGCAGTCGCCCTTTGCTCGTTAAGTATGACCTTGGCTGTTGGTGATGAACGTGGTCTGGTTAGATCAGTCTCTTATTTGTATTTTCTTTTGAGTTGTAAAGAGCAATTTTTGCTTGATTGTGACTCTTTTCTCATGTGATTATATAGGTTCGCATCTATAAGCTTCAAGAAAACACAAATGGTTCAAGTTTTCAATTTGTGACCGAGACTAACCATGAAGGTAATATCTTCCTGCAACCCAATTTCTAGCAAATTTCTTTAATATTAACTGAAAATTCTGGCATGATTCAAAATTCATTTTAGTGTTTCTTCTTATATCTTGATATTTAAATCAAATTTTTAATAATCATGACATGGATAGAATTTGAGTGAAATATGGAAGCAAATATACAGATATTCATCTTCCTGAACAACAGTATAATTATGATAGATCTTCCTCAGGACCTGGAGGATGCAGAAACCATCTTTAGTCATATCAAATAAGTGACGAGCATAGAATGCCGGAAATTTTGACATGCCACAGAACTGACCTAGTTGAATAAAACTTTGATGAAGAGGCTGTGGAACAAACACCTCCTGAGTAGATGCAGAAGCACTAAATAAATTTCATCCTTCACGGGACAGATGTGAAAGGTAACAAAACAGCCTTCACCAGAAGTATATGATCAGACTGTTAATCATCTATAGAAAAATTGGCAAATCAACACATCCACTAGCTAGAGTAGCCACTCTAATAATCTGGAGTTTTAGGAAGATGCTTATTGCCTATTGATACATCTTATCTCTTCCAACACCAACTGTATTTCATGTGTATCTTTCTTGTACTAACAATGACTAAATATGACACATGACTGGGGGTTTTGGAACTAAGAATAAGGTGCAAAGGCTCCAAGTTGAAGCTTCTATTTGATAACGTGTCTACTTTTTGACACTTGTGAACATTATATTTGGTATGACTTCTTAATTATTTTGTTCCTGTTACTAAGAATCCAGATAATTGTGCAGAAAATTCTAAATAGAGAACCGATCTCTATAACTGTTAGAGATTGGTTCAAGTCTGACTAATCTAGAAACACTCATCAATTTTAGATAAATATCACATGAAGCTAATTATTGATTTCTACAGCAGCTCATATCTTTATGTATAAAGGACACTCTGAATTAGTTCAGACACTCGCAACTATAGTATAATTCATAAGCAACCATCATTTGGAGAATCAACTAAGCTTGATAGGTCTATCATCTATGGCATATATATGCTTTTATGCACTCTTTCACATGATTAAAGAGGACGATGATGAAATCATGAAATACATAATTCAAGTATCATAGTGCCAACAGCTATACAACATGGGCACTCTAAAATAATAGATTTGTCCATGTCATTCCACATTTGGTAATGACAATTGTCGGATAATTTCTGACATGTGGGATACTTTCTGATGTGTAGGATATTTCAAGAATACACTAGGGTTCATATATCAGTTACACACCTACTGATGTCAACCATCCTGCATATATACATATATATATATCCACATAAGGCTTCTAGCTAACTTTAAGTGGTTGTGACATTCCTCTTACGGATTGTATCTATCAGTTCAACCATGGACTGGTACAAGAGACATTAAGTACTGGGTGATATCCAGTGAATTAGAATGCAACAAAGCTTTTATATCCTGAGAGGAGGAGCAGAAGAACAAGAATCAGCAGCAGAATTGGCATTTCAGATATGTCCGCAACCCCGTCCTTCCCTTATTCTTGTCTCTGGTCAGTTTCTTTCTTTTCTCTTTGACTGGTAGCAAACACTACATTGCTGATCTGGTGCTACCATTCTTTCTTGGCCTGAGACCAGTATAGGGAATGACAGTGAAATTTAAATCCTTGCCTTTCTAGACTTGTTTAACATGTATCTATGTTGGGCTATTGATATACTATGGTATGAAATTCTCCTTATTGTTTTGCATATGGATTTGTACTACTTTAATGAATGATTGTTATAAGTTAATATTTGCTACCATGAATTTTCTAAATTGTACATGTTATATCTAAATCTATAAAATTATATTGAAATATAAAAAATATTTATTAGTTGACATTTGTGCACACTATGTATTGTCCTACTTTTTAAAGATTTGCTGTGTTGGTGTGTACATGGAACAGAATAAATTCTGTTCCATGCATGTACTCATTTTCAAGTTGCTGTTATGAAGCAACCTGATCCCAATGAGACCCCTCTAAAGGCTGGCCAAGGTCTGAACCTGTTCGATCAGAAAAGATAATGAGGTGTTAATTAATTATTTTGCTTGTTATTTGCACATCGTTGAGGAAAATTTTTGAGGGATGATGATGAACTGCCATGGTAAGTAATCAGATTCTAGTAATAAAACTTTATTAAAAGAAAGAATGAAAATTTAGTTGATCAATATTGTCACAACAGATATGCCATAGACTGTACATTTTTATGATATTTAAACTTGAACAGTGATGGTAACATGTTAACCACTATGATGTTTAACTTCAAGTCTTGAACTAGATTCAACTGATTACAAGAAACTGGTTAGTATGTTGACAGTTGTGCTCCAAAAGAATTTTAAATGGTAAAAAGGCCCCCAAACTTATCTACACTTTGCAATCATCTAACCTTTACTTGTATATTATTTTTCTTTCACTTTCAGCATGAACGACAAAATGATGTTTTTTTTTCCCAAGAAGCTATTCTAAATTCAAACAATACAATATGTTTGGACTTGCTAAATTGAGTCTTTTCTTCTAGTAATACTTTGTTTGTCCCAAGATTTGGTTACTTAATTGCTTGCTTATAGCAGATCTAATTTGCAGGTAATGGTTTTCAGCAAGCCTAAAATATTAGCTTGTCAAATTGAAGGGATTTGAAAGTTCAGGGGATTCTTACATGTTCTTTTATTTGGTTTTAAAATTTGGGTTCACTTTTCATTTTCCAAGAATGTGTTTCGGTAACAAAATACTAATGAGATCAAGAGTTCAATTTAGAAACTTGACCTGTATATAGTGCAAGATGGAATGCTCCAGTTGGAATAATTTATGCAATATGGTTTATGGTAAATGAAAGAATTGAAATATGAACTTTTGGTGTTTCTCTTTCATGTTCACTTCGTCCTGGCAAATTATCGCTAGTTTGTATTTTTTTCCTTACACTGCTTTTATAATTTAACATGTGCAGTTCATATAATTCATCACGGGCAAGGATTTCATTGCATAGCAGCCTTTTCTATCTTAAACTCTCCAGTTCGGGACATTCATTTCACAAATTCTGGGAGCCACATTGCTGTAGGGTTTGAAAGTGGTCAGGTACCATTTAAGTGCCTTTTCCCTTTTGTTTCTTTCACTTAATTGAGGTTGACAAGAAAATTACTGAAATATCTGTTGTCGTGGTCATTCAGGTGTTGATGCTTGATATGACATCACTATCTGTACTGTTTCGTACAGATTGCACTTCTGGAACTAACTCTGCAGTAATTTCTGCGAGCATGCCCTCTATTTCTCAGTGTATTCTTCAAGTAAGCAGTCCAGAGCAACTAAGCCCCTGTATAACAAACCCTACAGAAGTGGTACTCACTCTCACCAAGGATTCACAAATTGCAATTATGGATAGCAGAACTGGGGCTATTATAGGCTCCAGAACGGTGCAGCCAAAGAAGGAATCTGTTGTGATTTCCATGCATGTTATAGGCATGTATTTCCAATGCTTTCATCAATATTTAAGCCTTGTATTTGCAGGTTGAAAAAGTGCTGTAACTTTTACCAATTTTCATGCGTAGAGGGAAGTGTCTCAGCATCAAAAGCAGTTGCTGAGCCTGAGAAATGCTCCCAGAACCTGCCAGATGAACCTTCTTCTCAAAGTGGACCTGAGAGAAGCAATAATCGTGAACCAAGAGAAACAAAAGAACTTCAAGGCTGTCGCCCAGAGGATGCTCCATATTCTTGTGAAACATTAATAGATCCACTACTTGTGCTATGCTTTGCAGATTCTCTATGCTTGTACCCTTTAAAGTCTGTGATAGAGGTGTGATGCTCTTATGTGTTCAAGTAATAATGTTGGTATGCATTGTCTACAACTGAGCTCATATCTTTTTCATTTTCAGGGGAATAGCAACTTTTTTCATAAGGTGAACCTAGCACAAAGAATTTGTTGGTCAACGATATTAAAGGTAGATGCAAAGGCACCAGAACTGATACTACTATTTGAGACAGGAACTATTGAAATAAGGTAAATGGCCAGTACATTTCATCTTCTTTGGTGGGTTTCTTGCTCGTGTTGCAACGTGTCATTTAACTTTTGAGTTTTGATTTCATAATTATCTTCTTTTCTGTCTTTGACAGGTGTTTGCCAGGTCTGGAAATTAAGGCGGAAAGCTCCTTAATGTCCATTCTAAGATGGAGCTTCAAGACAAACATGGATAAAACCATGAGTTCCTCTGATGATGGGCTTATTGCTTTGGTGAGTCTGTTCATGAACTTGACTTCCATAAATCTCAATATGAAAAACTTTTGAGGACTTGTTAGTTTTTCATGAAAAAAAAAATTGTTGAATCAATAAATTCCTCAGGTATAGCTCATTGTTTGCAGAATCAAGAGAAAGTTAATAAATTATTGATATCTTGTTTGTACAACAACAACAACAAAACTGTAAGTCTCAACTATTTGGGATCGACTACATGGATTTTTTGTCGTCACTAAGATCTTGTTCCTATATATCTTAATTAATTTTATTAAATAAGATAAATAGTCTAGCCTTGTTTCCAATTTTAGTTAATTCCTAAAATGATGGTAAACTTTCTGACTGGTTATAGTGAACAAATCATTGCCAAATTTACTAATTTCGAGTAATGTCTATTAAAACTTAGATGTACACTTTAGTATTTGGATGTCAATTAATGTTGAACCTCGTTTGACATCTTGTAAGGACTATGGTCCAGATCCATGAATCAGTTTAAGGATGTCGGTGGCATATACTTGGAATATCCATCAGATTTGAGGGAATTTTATATAAAGAACAGGACCAGGAGATTTATGTGCAAAATTGATAGATTTTGAGGACTAATATGTAAAAGGCCCTTTGTGTTTTTATCCGTCTTTAGATAATGACTAAATCATTCTTAGAACTTAGTGATATTCATTACTTGCAATTCTTAAGCAAGATTATGTGGATAAATTATGATTTTGCATGTCACACATGATGACTAGATGGACATGAAATACTAATTTGTTCAACTTTGTTATATAAGTTAGAAACAAAATTTCATTTTGAGGAAATTACAGGTGAATGGATGTGAAGTTGCTTTCATCTCTTTTTTGGATGATCAATCCAGGTATCTCATTTTCTTTGTCTAGTAAGAAAAAGGGATATTCAAGAAAGATTGCTCTTTAGGTCTCAAATTATTTATATGGGTTTATCCAGGTTTGCAGAACTTATGCCTTGCCTTCATGATAAAGTTCTGGCATCTGCTACTGCCGCTGCCCTTAATCACTCCATAGATTTGAAGAAAACACAGGTAGAGCTTCCTCTTTTTTATTGTTCAATTATGTTTTTTTCAATTGGCTCTTATAAACTATCACCATGGCTTTGCTGCTCCAGATGACCTCTCCTGGGATATTTGGTGGTATCATAAGAGGACTTAAAGGAGGTAGAACAGATATAAATGACATTGTTAATGATGGTATTCCTAGCTATAGTTCCACCAAACAACTGGAGCAATTATTTTCAAGGTTCCCATTCTCGGACCAATCAACCACTATCATTCGCAATGAAGAAGTTGGCGAACTGAGCATTGGTTCTCTCTCTCCCTCTCATACTAAAGTTGTTTCTCCGTATTCCTTCCCTCTCCTCTCTCTCTCTCTCTCTCTCTCTCTCTCTCTCCCTTTCCAGCCCTATCATTTTAAGGAGTAAATCTGTAATCTTTTGCAGATGACATCGAGATTGATGATCCATTACCTGCACCATCTACTTCAACTACTGTAACTAAGAGTAAAAATAAAGGTATCACATTTATATTTTTCAACTGAAACTTCTGAATTTCCATCTCCTTCAGTTGGCTCAATTTTCATGTTATGCTATAGACGAGGAGAAGGAAAGAGAAAAATTGTTTCAAGGATCTACTAATGATTCAAAGCCAAGAATGAGAACTCCTCAAGAGATTCTAACCCAATATCGCTTTGCTGGGGTAAAATCCTCTGGACTTGTTAAATTTTAATAATCTCCTCACCTCTTTTCTCTAAAGCTATTAATTGCAATCCAGGATGCCTCAGCAGCAGCAGCTCATGCAAGAGAAAAGCTTGTACAGAGGCAGGAGAAGCTTGAGGTAGGACGTGTGATATTTTATTTGTAGAATTCATCTTTTTGTGTTCTTTAATATTATAACTTCTACCTTATTGTTCTTTATGCTGTAAATCTGTGAAGTTTGCAGATCGAAAGATATGGAATGAGAACATTGTATCTTAAGTAATTAATAAGGATAGTCATAATAAGGAATGGTAAAGATGTAGGAGTTTAAGCTTGGTAAATTTCATCCATGTGGTAGTTAAAAAAGGTCTTCCTTTACATCATAGTGAGTTGAAAACTAGTTTTGAACAATTAAACCATCTTAGGCTTATCAATGGATGGTTTCTGTATTAAATTAATTGTGTTCATAAAATGGACATAGACAAATATTTAAGGAGTTCTTACAAGACTCAATTAGAAATAAAGGTTAGATCAGAAAATAACACTTAGATACCATTTGATCAACTTAGAATGTAACAAAAAGCTAGAAAAATATTATATCATCAAATCACTGGACAAGATTAGCAGTGGCTGGAAGGCCAAATTCTGCAAGATTACTGCCTTATTTGTGTCTTTATTGTTCACTTGGATATTTATTCTCTATATTAATGCTAATAAACCAAAAGGAAAATTCGATTAAAGTTGCATATGTTAGATGAAAAGATGATTTACTTTTTAAAACTATAAAGAGTACACATATATAATCTGCATGACCTGGATAATTTATAAAGCATAATCCACCTCCATAGAGTAACACCGGAGTGTCCTTTTTGTTTTGGGGAGTACTAGATGGCAGTCTCAACTTTTTGAAAAGTGATGATTAACCCGGTCTAAGTTGCTCAGTTAGGCCCAGGTATTTGGAAAAACCTGACCTGCTTGCCATCTTTGCTTGCAATAGGAACAACAATGAGTAGGGTACCCACTACTCGAATCCGAACCTGACCTGGATATTTACTTTCCTAGCCGAATATACATTAAACCTGATTAAAGGGTACCCGAACCTGGCTTGAGCGGATCGGGTAGACAGCACCCATAAAAAATTATTGGTTCCCATCTCTAGTTTCGGCTAGACATTATTGTTGCATCATCTATTTCATCAAAAACAACCTGGTGTTGAGATATTGGAATCAAAATTCTCGAAGGATCATCATATTGCCCCAGTTATACAACCTATTTGATCTGATTTGGTGCAAAGAAAAACTATATTCAAAGTCACTTCATTGCCTTTGTTTCTCGTGTGTAAATGGTAACTTGAAATCAACAAATACTGTTCAATAGATCTTATGTCACTTTATCACAATGAGGTTGGTCAAAAGTAAGATGGCACTCCTAATCATTTCTCTTCTAGAGCAAATGGCATGACAGACCTAAATCTTAAATCAAACTTCTGTTTAAGAACTTGGTTCTTCTTGCTAGTATATATTTTGAGGTTGTATCAACATAAGCTAAGCACCTTCTTACATATATGCTCTTACCAGAGAATTAGTCGACATACTGAGGAGCTTCAGAATAATGCTGAAAGTTTTGCTGCAATGGCGAATGAACTTGTGAAGACCATGGAGAATAAGAAATGGTGGAAAATATAGACTAATTTTGAAGATGTTCCTTCCTATACAAAAAAACAGAAGATTACATGGCCATGCATTTAGCTTCTCGGCTGTGAAAATTGTATAGTAGCTTCACCTTCCAATCAATTGGAGCCAGTGATTGCCAGTGGTCACCTGAATTGTGAACTGTGAAGGAGTTGGGAGGATGGTTGCCTTATGGGTTTCATCGAGTAGATTCAGTGATAGAATGTGTATATCTATTGTATATTTATAAGCTATCAAAGACGTGATGTCATTGGCAGGTGAAATGCTTGCTTTTCGGCTATTTTTATTGCTGCTACAGTTGACTTGTTGATCATATATGCTGCTGCTTTTATCTCAAGTTTTTAAGCTTCAGATTGTTGTATTTGAAGCTTGAAATGGATACATTACAAGCATGCTCATGTAAAGTATTTTCAGATGACCATTAATGATCTACCAAATCTTGTAAACTTTGAGTTATTTTGGTCTTGAAACCTTTGTAGGAATAAATATTTTCAGACATTAGCTAGAAATCTATCTTGGAATTTTTTTAACAAACTCTTTAAAGCTTGCTGTAACCCTTGAAGCAAAAGAATCCACCATGCTGTATTGCATGAATCTTCTCCGGTCACAACTACCGTCTTGGATTTGCTGGTTCACAATTTCAATTAGAGTTTGGTATACGAGCCTCCCTCTAGTTTCTTTGTTTTGATCATCCTTATAAAAGGGTACTGATAGGATATATTATGGATCGTCCCACGAGGACTCAACCCTCGCCTTGTTAGCTCGAGTGCGAAGCCTCGGGAGGGAGATGTAGTGCCACGTCAAATGCGTCATCAGGTAATCGGAGACAACAGTGGTCACCTCCCCACGTCGTCTAGCGTCACGTCGACCAACCTTGTCGCAACAAGGATCGCTCCGGGATACTCGGGATGGCACCGCATGTCGCCATCCCACGTATCCTGGGTGATCGATCCCCGAAGGTACGTTCACCAGGTCAGTCGTCGACAAAGGTCACGTGCGGTCGACCCCCAAGAACAACAATAAAAACCCTCGCCAGCATCTAATGAGGGGGATCGAGAAAAACTTCAAGAGGCCACTAACTTGAGCTTTGGAGGGGCTAGAGTCGGGATCATTCCCCGTCCCGACCCAGGCCTATGTGTAGGAACTCGGTGATGGCAAAGGCGGATGAGCTCGCAAAAGAGGCGCGTCCCCACCAGATCCGAGCTCGGCTCGATCAGGTGAGACCTTCATCCCCAAGACGATCTTGGACGTCGCCAGTCAGACTGAGTCGTACCGACCACGTGACCACGACTTAAGGTTTGCAAAACAGGTACCAAGTCATGAGATCATATACTCGGACACTAGTCTGAAATTGGAATTAGTAGCCAAGGTGAAATCAACAAACACCTTATCAAAGCCACGCCATGAGTCACATATCATTGTAGATATAAGTGATACATATCATTGTAGCACGATTCTCTTTTTCTCTCTCTCTCTCTCTCTCTTGCTTATGCCTCATCTTCTTCTTCTCGAATTTGGGGAGGAGTGAAACAAAGGGGATAGATATAAGTCGCTTATGTCTCGTCTTCTCCTTGGATTTGGGGAGAGGAGAAAAAAGGGGGATAGATATACGGTGATAGCAATAGAGGTCATGACGATGATAGAAGAGGGGCCGCGGATGAGCGATAGTTTTAGTAATTTTTAAATAAAAAGATATAATTTTAAAAAAAATAAAAAAAAAAATATGGTAACCGTTTGAAAAATATTTAAAATGTAAATATTTTTGAGGAAAAATCGTCTAAATGTTATCTAGAAAAATTGTGCAGCATAATTAACCTTACGTCACGTCCTGACTCGAAAGATTACGAAGAACAGGCACTGCGTCCAGAATCTGTCAGCGCAGTACCGCGCCCTGCCGGATGAGTTTCGCAGCGACAAAGGGTTGGCGACAGAGGTGACTCCGCTATCCGTGATTGCCTATTAGATAAGACGAAAGATTCTTAGCCGCCGCCCGCCCCTCCTCTTTGGCGACCATGTCGGCCTACAGCCTCCATAGATTCTGTGCCCTTCCCTGCCGCGAGCTGTGATGCTCCCACAGCGCCATGCGGTAGATTTGCATGATAGAGAACGCCAAAGACGATGCTCAGAAGGCTCGTTCGTATACATGCAGGTGGAAGATTGACGCATCCCACTCGGTCAAAGTGGAAGATATACGAGGAGGATCCAATCCGCAGTGCCTCTCTCACCCTGTTTTGACTGTCCGATCGATAGATAGAAAGAAGATGATGATGAGACGGAGGGGTCCCGCCACACAAGTTGCTGGTCAGCAGTGTCCGCCGAGTGCGCTGGCTTTTGCGTCACCGACCCACCATTACCCTATTCCACTCTCTCGCTGACGCAACCACGCATTGTTCCGAGCATGGTGAGATGGTGAGATGGCAACAGTAGTTGCACTGGAGACAGCGACAGAGCATTTGAGATCCTCTCTCTTCCTTGAATCTACTACATATGAGATTAAAATAAATTTGATTAGGACATGAATGATACTTAACTCAGCTATTTTAGGCCCCACCAATTTGAAGGAAAGCTTTGAATGACTCGAACGGACGCGTGGGGTCAACGGTGTTATCATCCACCGAGGGAAGTCTTCTGAAGTCACATCCGACGCAGATTCTTGGATATCTTCATCATCTCATCGAAGAAAAAGCTGAGAGGCCTTTGAAGATAAAATAATGTAAGTGGAAAAACATGCACTTCCCACATCATTGAATTCATAATGTCATGGTCATATAGTAAGCAATATATTTCATAGATTTAGAAACAACAAGATTTAGACAAAAGCTCATTGATCGAAACTTGTTCTTCATCTCTACACATACCCATCTTCTTTCTACCTATGAAGACAATTCTCTTAAGCTATTTTTATGAATGAAAGAACTTGCAGGCGCGGTCTTTCGCAAGCTCAGATTTCCCTACGGACTCGCCTGCTATAATAAAGCTGTAATGGATTCCCAAAAAATATATATATATATATAACGAAGAAAAGAACAAGGTCAGAAGGAAGAGGGAAAGGTAATCGTTGCCCTCGCCGTGTTCTTATGCCATTATCTTCTCCTCTGCCCATGGAGAGAACAAGTCGCCCCCGCCGTTGAGCTGATACCGGTTCTGCTGCTTGCCCATGCCAGGACGGCCCACGGGCGCCGCAGGTCCATCCTTCACCAGAGACTGCACCCACGACAAATCCGGCTCGTTCGTTGCGCCGGTGGCTGGAGCTACCCCTCCGATGGCGGCCTGACTGCTGCGGAAGGCGAAAGATGCCGACTTTCTCAGCTTGTTCAGCTCCTCTCCTTGAATACCCCAGTCCAATTTACCGTCCGGCGAGCCCCAGTCGGACATGAGCGACGGCGGGGCCGCCGCTGATGCCGCGGTCGACATGGCAGAGAGTGTCGATTGGCGACCAGCGGTCGCCCCTCGGTCGCAGAAGCTCTGGCTGCGCTTAGCGAACGCGGAAGCCCTGGAATTCATGATGGCCTTTGCCAGTGAGTGGTCGAGCCCGAACGACGATGCGGCGCTAACAGGAGGGGAAGAAGACAGGCCCCCACCGTATCCAGACAGCAATTGAGACTGGTGCATCTGGATTGCAGCAGGGGATTGCATCTGAGGCCCCGTCTTCTTCCTCGCGGAGAGCCCCTGCAATTGGGTTAGCAGCGATGGATCGACAGAACCCAACAGATCAGTGTAGTCTGGAGCTCGAGTGGTTGCCGCGGCTAAGTTGTTCGTTCCCCAGCTGGCCCGCGGAGAGGCCGTTTTTGCGATTTCGTCGACAAGCTTCTGCTGATACTCTTCTAATCCGAGCAACTTGAGGTCGAAATCCAAGTCTCTGGCACTCAGCGAAGCCTTGAGCCTGCTGCTCGGCAGCTGTAAGGCCGGAGGAGTCACCACGCCGCCCGTCTGATTCATCCATGCCGCTGCGGACCCTATGCCCGATGAAGCCGAGGGGGACATGGGGGAGCCGGGCTGCTGCATCAGCGTCAAGGCCATGGCCATGTCCAAAGAGGAAAGGCCTTGTGATGACGACGGCAACACCATTCCGGCAACCGATGCTGCAGTGGGGTTCACCGTCCGCAGCTCCTCCGGCTTGTGGGCGAAGAAGCAGACCCGGCGGTTGCAGCCAATCTCATCCTTGCAGAGCCGGGTCCGGTACTGCGCCGGGTGAAGCCAACTCTCGAACACGCCGTGGGCATATTCGCAAGCATCGCCGTTCCGGCAAGAACCTTTCCGGAACTCGGGGCACGGCACGCAACTGTAGGAGTACTTCCTTGGGTCTCGGCGCCGAGCGTTCTCGCCGGGGTGGACGAAGGGGCACTCCGTCCAGTCGTGGGAGTACGCGCGAGAGCACGGCTTAATCTTGAAGGTATACATCCGGAACTCGTCGGTGCCGTAGATCCCGGTCTTAATGTCGGGGAGGGTCAAATCCGGCGGGTATTCCTTCTTCTCCGCCTGTTTTGCTTGCTCTTCTCTGCTCGGTGATGAAACCCTAGGGCAAGAAGTAGCTTTTAAGATCACCTCGAGGGACTTGGCAACGGTGCTCGAGAATTGCCGGGCGATAACGTCGCCGGGGCGGCTCCCGCCCGCATCGAGGGCGTCAACGACGTCCGCAGACGCGCCGATCAAGAGCTTAACGGCTTCGAGAGAAGCCGCGGAGCCGCCGGCGGCAGCGCAGTGCAGGGCGGTGGCTCCGTCGGAGTAGGCGTGGCGGACGGCCTCAGCTGGGCAGGCGGACAGGATGTAGCCCATCACGGCGGTGCTGCCGTATAGCGCCGCGATCATGAGCGGCGTCCGCAGCTGGTAACCCATTCCCCGGCCAGGAGAGCGGCCGTACCAGGAGGCAGCGGCATCCAACGGTCGGCCGTCGTCCTCCACCGCCCGCCTGAAGGCGGCGAGGTCGTCGGAAGCGGCGAGCTCAAGGAGCACTGCGGCCGCCTCCGACGAAGTCTCCATGGCCTCTGCGCCGCATCCCGCCGCGGGGTCGTTGGGCAGCGAGGAGAGCTTCCGGTGGCCGCCACACATGTCCTCTCTTCCACCTACATCAAGCAACAAAACTCCGTCAAAAACCAAAAAGAGGCAACAAATCGAACGCCACGATGAAACCTATGAGAATGGATGCGTACGAGAGCCGATGCGAGTGTGAGGGAACGAAGGGAACGAGGAGGTCGTGATTTGCGAGGAAAGCTTTGGCCTTTCGTCCCCTTTTGTAGGCGTGAGTGGGAGTGCGTGTCAATTATGCTTGTCAGGCAAATCCACATTTAAAATTGCATAATGACCCTTGCGGAACCCCATAACTCATAATGTCGCACATAAGATTCTCTCATAAACGCCCCTGAGAGGGATCGATATGAAATTTTATATTCTGTAGGGACGGATGTGGGATGGGTCGCAATAATTCCACGGGGAGAGAGAGAGAGAGAGAGAGAGATGAGGGAAGCAGGTGGGAACTGCGCTCGGGTCAAAAAGACGACTCCGGGAAGGAAGCTGCCTTCTTCCTACCCGTCTCTCCGGATGAGAACGAAATGAAACGACGCGCGGTCCAAACCCCGACACACAAAATGAAACGACGAGATGACTGACGCCGTGTGCCCCCGTGGGAATTCCCGTCTGGGATTCCGTCCACAGCGGGCCACGCGGCGTCAGCGTCCGTGGGAGGAGGCCACGTTGAATCCGAGGCGACTTCGAGTGGCTCGGTCGACACGCGTGAACCGTTCATCTTCGTTTCCCCCCTCTGCGGCCGGACGAGGGTCCGGGACCATGTGGGTCCCACATATTTTATTGGTCAGATGGGAGATAAGGAGGTGGGTAACTGGTGGGGTGGCGTGAGGTGGGGAGAAACCGCTCATCGGGAAATGGGAATGCCGTGGGCCGCAGGCAGCGTCGAATACCGAGGTAGCCCCCACCAAAGATTCGAGCACGCTCGGTGAGCGTACCGCGCCACAGAGTCGTGCTCCAAATCGTTTGCCGAGTCGCTGCCCACAGCGCTCCTCTACCCGAGTCACGAAATCAACGCGTGTCGATCGCAACCGAATCTAAATCCAGTCTTCGGGTTCGAGCGGGCAGATTAATCGGGCATGCGAAGATAAAAAATGCTACGCATGATATATAATACGTCGAATCGGTCAGACCATATAAAGGCCATATGATACACACTCGAGTGTTTAGCAAACAAATCGACATGATGAATGTTGTTTAGGTGGAAAGAGACGATGGTTGCAGACAAATAGTGTGACAAGGTTTAGTTTGACCACGAAGTCATCGGCCGCCACGGTCGGCTTTTGGATAAGAAATCTACGTTCAAAATGTAAGAAAATGGAAGCTTGACCTCGCACTACCCAATGGTACATTACAATAAATATTATTAGAGGGGGTGGGTGGTGAGTCTCTTTCCGGGCCCCACACCGTGTTCTATGTTTATGAGGAGATGGGTGGTATGAGAGGTGGAGAATTAATACCAGTAGAATACTCGGTCCTTTGTTTCTTTCTTTCCCTAGATTTATTATCATATGCTGATGGAGTGGGACAATTTGGATGCCCCAAAAACAATTATATAGATGATACGATTTTAATTTTTATTTGATACCAGATGAGGTTCGGAATAAATCAAACTTTATTCGTAAGATTGAGATATTGAAAAACGATCCTATAAAAGATATGTGAAGACATATTCGAGGAAGAAGTTCAAAACGATTTGATCGAGTATATAGAAGTGTCCTTAAGTCAATAAAATTAAATTTTAGAGGATTTGATCAAGCTCGAGTATATTCAGGTGCAAGTCTTTAAGAATACACTCGAAAGGTCTTTTTATGGTATGATAAATGATGTTGGAGTTGAATGTTGAAAAGTGACATGCCTAGAAGATAAGAGCTGTGTCAGTGAACCACTAATAGATAGTAACATTCACAATATAAATGTATCCTCAGTCAAAGTCAAATATTTGAATGATTCAGGGCAAAAATATGATTAATGCATCTCAGGATTTGTCATAATTTTGAAGAGTACAAGGCAAGTTTTCTTGAACTATTGGATTAGTTTTTTTTTATAAGCAGTGAGTTAATTAGATTTCACCTCAAACAAGACAGCCTTAATAATAATCACAAAAAGGAAAGAGAAAACAAATCACTGGAAACTTTTGAACAGTGTTATTTCACTTCCACCAGTTTAATAGTGAGATTAAGTGTGGCCACCAGACCTCTTCTATAAGAACAGACACAGTGCCACTTATGTGTGATGAAATGCAATTTGACTCATGCAGTTGTTCCAACCTAATCAACTGAAAGAAGATTCTTCAAAGTTCAAAGTCAAGGTTTATTATTTCCTTGTGCACAGTGATGATTCTATTTGTTGTATCCTTTTGATTCATGGAGAACTTGAACCTGACATAATATATAATATCTGAAACTTTGTTGCAGAAATTTCTTTCCTATTATGACAATCTCCAATGTGGAGGAGTTCATCCTTCCACTGGCAACTAAGTTCTTTAATCAGTATACATTTGACCATTGTCAGACATCAGAAACACTGCATAAATGGATAGCAACTTCAAATCCACCAACCACCACAAAGAGAAGGAGTTGGAGCAAGTCAACCATTTGAGATTTAGATAAGATTTCATCTCCAGCTTCAGACAAAACAATTAAACCAGGTTAGGACTCTCCCAATATTTCTAGATACCATGATAATAGTTAGCTTTAGCAGATATTGATGATGGCATTAGAAACATGATGCACTCACCATTTTCCCATGACTTCCATTGTTATGCACAACTACTCATCATCAAGGGAGGAAGCTTCATGATCATTTCATGGCTGCATATATAGGCCCACTGTTCTCGGCAACAATTACCTGCGACTAGGAAAAAAAATAGCATATTTTCACTGAAAAAAATAACAGATATCAAAGTTGATGGGACTGGCTACCCAGTTATGTGTACAACAGAGCAGAACCATCCGATAAGCATCACTTGCATGATTAATTTCAAGACAGGTGAATTCCTCATGCTATTGTAACATGTGATCACACCAACTGTTTCTAAAATGCAGATAGAAAGTGTTATCACACAAATTCGAATCAGGTTGCGGTAGGAAGAACTTCAAACAGCATCATCATACAAACACGAATCGCATCAGCAGCTTTACGGAATTGAATTTGTTGCCCTTGTGGTCAAAAAGTGGCACAGCCCTGATCCCTGGCCTCAACTCCGAAACAGGAATGCAAGTCTGTCCACCAAAGTCATCCTTCTCAGACATATCATACTCATGTACTTCAATACGAAGCAAAGCCAGTTCAGGTACAGTTAAAGTGAAGGTAAACTCCTCATCCCAAACTGGTGTCCAGTTGTCCTCTATTGTCTTTGTTTTCTTCATCACGGTGTCAGCTGGAACTCCAGCTATCCCTACCTGTTAATTACCAAACAATTGCAGCATAAATCAGATCAACCATCATCCTGTTGAAGTTCGAGAGCAACATCCCTCAGCTTTAGTCCATAGAGAAAAGAAAATACATTAAATCTGAAACAAACTAATAGTTTGTATATGTTACCCTTGTATAGAAATCTGGAGGAGAATATGCATCAAAGTGTGTCTGACTAAAATCCATACGCCAACCATCTCCCATATAAATTTTTACCTGTCCAAAAATATTGACTTGATCAACAATTTCAACTTCTGATCAAAAACAAAAAAAGAAAGGGATGCAAAAGAAAAATTTATGAAGAAAACTATTATCACCTTTAAAGTTTTCTTTACAGGTAAGACGGCTTTAGGATCAAAAACCTCATTGTTTGGACCAGCCTTCACCAAGAAATCAGGCTTCTTTATATACCCACAACCCCCATTGGCTTTATAAAATCCATGCATCAGCCACAGCGACCTGCCATATCCCTACGGAAGAAATGGCAATAGAATATCAAGTGCAGTGTTCCTAAAGGGATTCAAACAAAATTTACTTAATGAAGGTTTTGCCATGAAAGACTAAGTGAAGCCATTTTGATGCGAAATGACTTATTATGTACTTGAAACCAATACCACAAATCCTTGTAAATTTTTTTTGGCAGCCAGCAGCATGGTTTGGACATCGCAGTGGAAAATTGGAGTCTCAATGTAACTTGATCTGACATCAAAACTTGTTAAATCACACAATTTCCAGACTCCAAACAGATGGAATCTTAGCCTATTTGTCGGTTGCCCTCCACATATTAAGAAAGGTTCTAAGTTCAGATACTTGTGGATGTGGTGCCCATAGACGACGAATGACGAGAAGGCATAAGACGGGAAAGAAAATATTCATCATGTATTTTGATCAGTATTTCAAGACTAGAGATACCTGCATGTTGAATGCAACCATCTGAGCACCATGAATCCAACCAATGAATGGATTGTAGTTAGAAGAATTAAAGCGGGTGCCCTTTGGATATATCCTGAGAAGATTTTTCTGAGTGAACCTATAAAATAAAATGACAATTATATCAACAGACTAACAGATTCTCAGAAAACAAGTAACATTCGGGTGAACATGCATGCTCCATCCAAGTTAAAATATTTGCATGGGCTAAAACTACCAACAGATTACTAAAAATATATAAATAGAGGAAGTTTCTGATATTTTCCAATTAATTTTGCATGTGATGGGAGCTGATTTGAGGTAGTATGAAGCTCATGGATATTTCCAAAAGAGGCCCAAAGATAAACCAATTAAACGGGTGTGTCAAAATATATCAGGGGTGTGAGGATTGGCAAAAGAACATCCGACAAGAATATATTAGAAACAGTAGTCTTTTTATCAAAAACAATAAAGACTTCTGCTGGATTTTAGATTGGCTAGTAAAATTGCTCACGATAAAGCTCGATGATAGGAAAAAGATCTACAAAGTGGCCTCCCGTTATTGTTGTCCGAATGATTTTTTGCAATAAGAAAAGAGAAATCAAACAAGATTTGAAAAGGAATGCACACTTAACAAAATTAGGACCTTAGTAAATCAGCTCCGTGTGTCGCTGCAGCTTTGACAAGTTCTTGCTCACTCAGACTTAATCGTCTAACTTTCTCTGGATCAACGTTTAGTGCTTCGCTCATGTGACCCTTAGGTTTCCCTGCCCTGATGGTGATTAGACATTTGTACTCAGGCGGTGCATTCTGACGCTCTTTTTGATCATCATCATCATCTGCAAGTTCCTCATCTTGAACTTCTTCATCCTGAGCAATCTCAGTAATAAGAAACTGGCTATTAAATACACAGTGAATATTAGACATCAGATGGAAGTGCATTAAACATCATTTGACACCTTATTAGCTAATTCAAATTCAGTTTGTATATCTGAAACCTCCTTTCCCCACGCTTCTTCTTCATTAGAATCATTTTCTTTTTGAGTATCACAATCCTTCTCCTTAAAACTTTTAGCTTCAAGGTACTCTTTTGGTGGTTTGGTGGAAATGATAATCCTTTTCTTCAGAGCTTCTGGTGAAGGGAATTCCTTGTGACTTTCTGAGTCAGGGTAGTACAGCATGTCTCCAAATGTTTCCATGACCATCTAAAGAAATGTTTCGCTTGAAGTTAAAAGATGAATTGAAAATACACGGTTGAAAATTTTCATTAAGGAGAAAAAAGAATCTACCTTGGCTACTTTAGCCTGGAGATCAGGAGTAAGGTGGTCCTCCAAAGTTATGATAACAGGATACGGAGATGCTGAAAAGGCATGCTCTTTGATGGATTTTAAACATCTGATAAGCTCCACAGGAGAAGTCAATGTCCTACATAACAAATTTTTTAGAAGGTAAGCTAAGGCACTTAAATACAAAGAAGTGACCAATAGCTGCATATTAACATTAAGCGCAATTTCATGTCTTTGGTTATTAACATACTGAACCTAGTTACCTTATTAGCAGCAGCATCAACCAAGCAGCTTAAATAGGAGGAGGAAATGGGGCACACACGTATATAGCTGTTAATTAGAGTAGAGGAAAAAAATATTTGATACAGAACGGAAGGAACTTGCCTGTGGACCATTTGTTTGCATTTTTTTTCAAGACAATGAATTATCAAAAAAGAAGTGTGGCATTTGTTCTTCAGTATGCCAATTTTTATCTTAATAAAAGGCATTTTAAATTACTCTCAGAGAATCAACCAAATCATATGGATGAACAAAAACAAAGATATACCACCTGAGAACTTGCAAACTCTGTGGATCTGTTCCACTGTGTCTAACAATAATGTCGATTTGAGAATCATAAACGTTATACAAAAGAGAATTATCAGGCCATGTCATATATAGTATGCTACATTATAAAAAAAATACTAGGTGCAATATATTATTTTTCACAATTTTCTCTAAATAGTGATCCGATAGAAAAGTTTAAGAAGAAACCAGGCATAACACCAGTATACCTTCCATGAAGAACATTGATATTGTCTCTTGCAGAATTTGGCCATATATCCAGCTCAATTACTCTCACACCTCTCTGAAGTGCTCTTATAATTGGAACATCGCTGCAGTCACTACTGAGCTGGTTTCCCGTCAAGTATGAATTGTGGCCTGTATATATGTAATAGTGGGACAGTGGAGCCGTCATATCATGGTGAACCTGCATTAGTATCAAGTATTCATATTGCTAACATGTAAAAATTTCTGAGCTATGATTTAAGCAGTACAGTTATATTAACCTGTAAGTCATGGCTATAGGCTGAACAGTATAACAGGAAATTGAAGTGTCATAATATCTTAGATGTTCAGAATTTATTATCACTTGGAAGGGAAACACAATAGTAATAATATCATCAGCATAGTTCAACATGAAGTTCTGGATAAAACAATTAGGATATTGGATTCTTCCATTAGCACCACTGGCACAGAATCAGTTTCTCCAATGTATTTGTTTCAATTTTTATCACTGAAAAAGATCAAAGCATAATATCAGGTAATCAAAGAACATTAAAAACAAAAAACAAACCTAAGCAAGCAGCATGTAAGGGAAAGAAACAAAGTAGCCTGAGATGGTAACATTTGAAACCTAAAGAACAGATCTACAAGTTTTTAATATCTTGATCAACCAGTATCTTAGCAATAAGATAAATGAGGCTTGTAATTCTACCATAAATAGCATACAAAAGAGTATCACATTAGATTCTTTTTTCCAACATTTACTGAACATAAAAGGAACATCTTCCACGACAAGCATCGACTAGAATGCATCATAATTCACAAGAATTAATTGCTCAAGTCTATGTGATTTCGATTCCTAAATATGACTTGTACAGTTCTTCTAAAGTTGTCGTCTTTAATCCAAAGACAGAAGCAATCATGGACCAACTTTCAACAAATACTACACCTCCATCGAAGGTAACAACAACAGGGGCCAAGCAGACCACCAGGATCAAGAGATCTACAAGAGGCGCGAGCAGACCTGCGGTTGTAAGGGAGGGTTCAGCTCCTCGGAGAAGAGGTAGTGGTGGAAATCGTCGAGGGTGAAGGGCGGCTTGGAGAGCTTGGCGAGGTGGGAGGGGCGGCGGAGCTGGCGGACGCGCTCCATGACCCGCTCGGCGTCGGCGGCGGTGGCCCCGGCCTCGCCCTGTGCCTCCTCTAGGAACTGACGGAGCTGATCCGCAGTCATGTGGGCTCCGCCCTCGGCGTAGGTCGCGAAAGCCTCCCGCACGTCCTCTGTGGGCTTCGCCTCGCTCCACCGGAACTTCCTCGTGAAGCAGATGCAGCACCTGTAGCTCCCCATCCTCTCTCTCTCTCTCTCCAAAATTCCACCTTCCTTGCTTACATCCACGACCAAATGGGGCTCCCGGCAAATATAAACGATCGAAGACGGCGAAGACGAGGAGGCGCGCCGCGAAATGGACGCGGTTTAACTGTCACAGTGGTTTCCAGTGACTCTCCGAGAAAGGATAGGGATACCTCCCTCAGAAGAACACCTTTCGTTACCGACACGACCGAAGCCCACACACGCACCCACCCGCAGCAAGAGGGCCCCAGATCGTGGCCGTCGCTTTGGGTGGGGAAAGAGACCTCGTCAAGGGTTTCCATGGAGAATGCCGTCCCGATCTCGTAACGGCGACGTTGTTGGTGAAGGTAATGCCCCGGTTCGTGAATCACAAAGTACACGTGGACAAGAGTCATCCGTCAGATCGAAACTCAGACTGTGTCCCTCGGCGACCGCGACGGTCACACCGGTGGGGTGAGAGGGACCAAAGAATAATTGGGCCGGCGTACGTGTCGGATACGCGGTCACGATCACCGGGTTTGGGTCAACCTTATCCACGCTGCCGGTCTATGGATTAATAATGCTGATGAGGGTAAATAATGGTGACATGTCGTGCCACGACGTCAGTCATACCTGGGTGTCACTCTGCCCGAGGAGAAGGGCAATAATGTCGACTCGACATGCGCTGACGTCACCCACTCTCGGACAACGATGAAGTCGTTGTCTGACCCGCGCGCTTGACCGAGGCAGAGGAGGACGACGACTGATGCTCGCCCATACCCTGCGGCAGTTCGGTTCTCCACCCAACGCCAATGGCAATGTCAAACGCCATCAGAGGTACAGTCCTGCTCCTGCAAACAGGCACATCAGGTAATGCTAAACTTACCTATAAATACCCTAAAGTTCTAAATAAAAAGGAGAACACTTCTTCACTAGCAAACTCCTTCCACATTATCTAACTTGATCGTTGGAGGGGTCGGGCCGAGCTTCTGACCCGACCTGTGTGCAGGTACAAGGGCGGGGTCGCATCCTCCCGGCGCTACGGAAAAATCTCTCTCCCGACGCAACGTCCCGACCGGACCACCGTAACCGGCCACCTCAACTGTCCCGGGGAACGCCGCGCAAGATCCCCGCACATTCGAACCTGAACCTGAACCAAAACGCGTCGGCCCGAGGCCACGGCATAAATTTGTTTACCCCTAACAAATGCAACAAAGAATAATAGTAGGATTAGGATCTACATTAATCCAATTCAAGATGTGTCTATTCAAATTGAATTTGGAATAGGTTCGTTTATCTAAATAATTATCTGGATTAGACATCGGATATCTTTGATTTAGATAGGAGGGGAAGTCAAGGAGTCATTTGGTACTCACCATCTCAGACTCGAACATGGAAGAAGACGACCGAGCCAAAAGAAGGGTTTTTTCTTCGTCGTGGATCTTATAGCCCCTGCTTTAATGCAACTCAGTCACGCCAATCCCATTCTCTTGACGGGAACGTCCGCGATGCCTTGCAGCAATAAAATTGAGATGACATCTGAGATGAGATAGAGTTGGAGATGGAACACTGAGGGAAAGGGTGTTCCATTATTTTTCGAACAAGGAAATCTCAATCAGCTGACCTCATGATGTCTGGCCAGTTATACATATGCTTTAAAGACGAGATAAGCAATCCAGTTCCTCTGGGTGAGGCCAACCAAGACCACCAGCAGAAACCACGGCCAGCGGCACCGGGAATGGTCTCCTCGGCGACCGTGTCATAAGGTCAGAGTATTATTCTCGCCACTGTTATCGCCCAAGGACAAAGGATAAAGATTGTCGAAGACGTGGATACCTTCCCTCTCGCCTACCAGCTAACCCAGATGCATCTCCCTCTCGCCGGCGCCTCCACGAACTGGAAAGAAGGGCCCATGTGACATCTCCTCCGCTGGGTTCCCCCACTGGTCCGCTGCCTCCGCGGTACCTCCCGACCTTCGCGATTAAGCTTCACTCAGAAAGGCTGCGCTGCATCTCGTCACGGTATGACGTGGCGAGATTGATGACCATCCACTCGGTCAACAAAACACTATTCTTTGTTTTCTTCCGTTCCCTCCAGGGGCGCAGAGCCCTCCCAACGAGCCGAAACACCCAGCGGAAGCACCTTCTGGGCCCCACAACAGAAATCAACATGGCCCACCTTCTATATAGGAACCGAGCCTTCCGGGGTTTCCCTCCGTACTCCCCATCCCCCCCCCCCCCGCCTGCTCGAGTGCACCATGAGCTCCGCCAACGAGAACCAACAACGCGGAGAGGAGACGGCTGCAGCCCGCAACGAGCCCCGCGCCCCTGAGCATTTCGCCAAGTTCTTCGAGTGCTGGCTCGCCGAGCAAGAACGCGACCTGCAAGTCCTCCGTACCGCAGCCGCTTCCGCCGGCGAGGAGCTCCGGCTTCGACCCCTCGTTGACCGGGTCCTCGGCCACTACGAGTACTACTACTGCGCCAAGGCCGCCTCCGTCCGCCGCGACGTGCTCCCCATGTTCAACCCCACGTGGACGTCCTCCACGGAGAACCTCTTCCTTTGGGCCGGCGGCTGGCGGCCCACCATGGCTTTCCACCTCCTCTACTCCAAGTCCGGCCTCCAGTTCGAGCCCCGGCTTCTCGAGCTGATCGTCGGCAACCCCACGCGCGACCTGGCCGACCTGAGCCCCGACCAGCTGGAGCGCATCGATGGGCTCCACCGGCTGACGGTGCGGCTGGAGAAGGAGATATCTGAAGAGGAGGCGCAGGTGCAGGAGTCGGTGGCGGACGCACGGATGGTGGAGCTGACGCATGCGTTGGCGGAGTCAGAGGAGGTAGAAGCTGATGCCATGGAGCAGGAGATGAAGAGGAAACGGGACAGGATGAACGAGGTGTTGCAGAGGGCGGATCAGCTGAGGCTGGAGACGCTGAAGGGGCTGGTGGAGATACTGAAGCCGGTGCAGGCGGTGCATTTCTTGATCGCGGCTGCGGAGCTTCACCTCAAAGTGCACGAGTTTGGGAAGAGCAAGGACGCTGCCGCTGCCGCTGCCGCTACTGGCCGACCAGAGTAAGGCAGGTGTTTAACTGCATCTTGTATCTGTTATTGGGATGGTCTGTTTTAAGTTGAGCATAAAGCACACTAACTACTACCACTTGTGACATGTACTTATGCTTAGTTAGCATGTAGAACATTAGCATTATATCCTAATCCAATGGATCCCGTCGGACCCGTTTATAATCCGATCATGTCCCGGACTCGAGTGCGACAAATCATGCACATAGGCACGTCGATCGCGATCCCTCTCCGCGCATGCACCGTCTCTGCGAATCGCTGCAAGGAAGCTCCCATCCGTCCCAGATGCACGCATCGTTAAAGCCCATCGAGGCCGTCCATCACCCATGGCCACCCGTCACGATCAACTACATATGTCGGCCGGTACACGTTCGTCCCCATCCCCCACCTCCACCGCCACTGCCGCCGCGCAACTCGCCGCCCATGTCCTCTCTGGTTCCATAAATAACAGAACCCGGCTTCGCCTTCTTTATCTCTTCAACGGCACCGTCTCTCCGAAACCGTTTCGCCATCGTCCACCGATGTCTTTGCGCAGCGACTACGAACAACCCCAAACCCTAGCGGCGTTCTCTCCTCGATCCGTCACCTACTGGTTTGCGTCGACCTCCTAATCGATCCGTCTCTTCAGTCGCGATCGCAAGTCGGACTGGTAAATTTGTCGCTTTTGTGTTGTTTTGATGCAGCTGCGGATCTTGTGGGTACGCGTTGAATCTGAGCTCTTCCGATCGGGACACCGCCAACATCGGTTCCAAGTACAGGAAATCCGCCAAGAAGGGCATCGTTTCCTTCGTTGCCGTGGACGAGAGCCGGTTCTCGCAGGTCGAGGAGCTCCGTTGCTGGCCCTACTTCGAGTCGAGGCATTCGTGGGGGTTGCTGAGGAGGAAGACCAAGTTGTCCTGTCGAAAGTGCAAGAACTTCGTTGGCGTCGGACATTACGACGGCGCCTCCACACAGGCTGGGTCCGATAGCTCCGTCTCGGGTTCCGGTAACGGCGAGGCGCCGAAGAAGTACTTCATCAAGATTAGCGCGCTGCAGCCGCTGGCGTGCGATGACTGAGGCGTTCCTCTCTCCAGGTGATGTTTGCTGCCATGCCGACATCGGACTCGCTCCTTGATTTCGTGCATATGCTTGTGTGAGAAAGAAGGTGTCATATGTCGGGATCCGGAACACGGTTGTACAAGATAATTGGACCCAAAAAAATGATGCCTTTGATCTGTTTGTAGTTTTGCCTCTAAGAGTAAAGCGTGTAATGTGTGAATAAGATGGTACCGAACGAAAGTTGTTGGTGATTTTTGCGTTGGCGACATGAGATTTTGATCCATGGATCATATGAACTGCAAGTTAGGATGTTCGATCAACATATGGTGGTGGAGAATTAGCTTGATGAATACATCTCGCCATGACTTCTTAGGAAGTCAATGCATCCCATATAGGTTGACTTGATGATCTGTGTGTGCATTTGTGGTTCCTACCCAGATATCGGAAAGAAGACGAATCCAACAGTTAGATCCTTTGATTGCACAAAGGGGGAAATGCTATCACTCTGTTTCTTATTTCATGGATCTCGTGATTTTGAATGAAATGACGGTACAAAAACCCACAGCAAAGATAGGACACCAAAACATTGCGGTGCTTCACACTCGCCTAAACCGCTGAACACAAGAAGAGTTGCGGTGGTAGCACTCAGAAGCTCCACCACAGCCAAATAGCTGCGGCTGCAAACATAACGCCGCCTCCAGATGCGCTCCGGCTCAGGTTCACACCAGCGGAGGCATCGGTAGCGTCGGTGGAAGGGGTGGAAGGGCCTTCGGCGACAGGACTTGGTTTCTGCTTCTTGGCTTCGGCTGGTGCAGGAGCAGCAGCAGGAGCCGGGGGTCCAAAGATCTCCAAGGGAAGGAGCACCTGATCGACCTGGTACACGGCGAGCTTGCTGTCGGAGTATATGGTGTTGGCGATGGTGGCGTCGACGACCCCCGTCGATAGATTCACTTGGGTTCCCATGGTCGTCACGTTCAATGGGTACCGCCCGTTGCTGGCGTCGCCGGCCTGCGTTCTGACGGGGTTGCTCACCGTTTGGAACTGGGAGGCGGAGATGACGGTGGGAAGTATGTGGAACTGGATCAGCGCGACCTTCTGCTGGTCGGTGAGGGAGTTGAGCGTGCCGGAAGGGAGGCTGGAGAAGGCGTTGTCGGTGGGCGCGAAGATGGTGAGGCCGGTGTTGGAGTTGTTGAGCTGGTTGTTTATTTGGTCGCCGACTTGGGTGCTCTTGAGGAGGCGGATGAGCGTTCCGTACTGCCCTGCCTTCTCCATAATGGCCGTGATGTTGGTCGGTCCTGCAGGAGCCGGAGATGTCGCCGACTGAGCAAAGGTTTCCCCGGCCAGTCCGGCAAGAAACAGGAAGGCGGTAACGGCACAGCCGAAGCGTTGCATGGTTGCGGTGTTATGCTGTCTTATGCTCTGCTCACTGCTGCGTCGGTGCATGGAGCCGAGGAAGGAGGGGCATTTTATGCAGGAGGAGGAGGAGGAGGAGGAGGAGGGAGGATGGGGAGAGCGGTGGGTCGTGGGATGGCGTCCGGCACCAAACTTAATAGGACGCTCCAGCTATTTTGCTTGACATGGTTGCCAATATCCATGTGTGAAGATGACATGGGTGGCAGTGATCCTTCCACCAAAAGCATCATGGAGAATGATGGCTGGCGAAGAAGGCCTTCGCCCGAGGAAGAATCATGCTCTTTCGTTCTGGTTTCCCTGTCTGCTTTACGTTGCCCAGTAGTAGTAGCTTGACATGGCAGAGTTGTCGAGTGTTTCATTCAGTGCACCTGCTAATTTGTTGTGTTTTGCGGATTGGAATGCAAGTATTATAGCTGCCGTAGAGTTTCAGCAAAAGAAAGCCACCGATTGATTAGTCCTGAGATAAATTGTGCAGGAAAGCGAACCCCATGTCTGTCTAATGATTAAGGTGATCAGGAGAAAGCAGCTTTGCAGCTGCTCTTTCTATGTTCATGTTAGGTTCTGCCTTTCCAACGAAGCTTTCGAGGAGAAGTGGTCTCATCACCTGTAGCAGATGGTTACAGGCTCATTAACAGTTATTTTATGTTTTGATTCGATGGGAATTCATCACTGATTCGAGTGTTTGATGTGATGAGGGTTCTTTGGCTTTTCTATGCACAATACAAATAGAATAATAAATCTTATTAATATATAATTTAAACAAAAATAGTTATGAGATTAGATGCGATCATTAACCCTCGAGAGATGGGATGGCAGCACTGATCGATCGATCGTCGTCATGAAACGTGCGAAACAATATCAGACGGCACCGTCCCGAGCTCTTGAGACGGGACAGGTGAAATAACTTCTTGATACGATTCTAACTTGACATGTGGCGTCAGACGTTTCTTGGGCTCAAAATAGATCGTATCAAACATAATATGATATGTGATTAACAGACGACATATTTCCTATCAATCCCGTATCACTTTCATTTGTGAATGTCTTTTGTTATTCATAAATTTAATTTTGTTATTTTGTTAGCGAGACTGAAATATATTAAGACGATCGAACGGTTTTTAATTCAAAAGAGGGGAGACAGAGAGGAGAAGATGACGGCCCGCGTTGGGCCGCTCCGGCCATCTCGCCTCGAGCAACCGTCAGCACGTGCGCGTGGATACGTGTGCCAGCGAGCTGGTTCTCAACCCGTCGATTTGCCCAAATTTACGAGCCTGCCCCATTCCCTCCGCGCTTGCGAGCCCGAGCTTATCTTGGCCGTAGGATGATGATTGACGGTCGGATCGTGCTTTAGGGAAAGGGAGAGACCAGTCGAGGAAACAAAGGTAGAGGAACGAAAGATGACGGAGAATTCACCCCCAAAAACCAAAAAAAAAAGGAGTAGGAATTAAAGAAAGCGAAGGCGGAGGGGATTGAATTCGTGTTGATGGCGCCTGCTGAGGGCATTGAAATCTTTTCGCGGGTTGGTTTCTCTGTCGTCTGATTTCTCCCTTTTCGTCCGTCGCCCACCGACAACAAAACATAGGATCGAGGCCTCCGGCGAAGGTCCCCTGGCACCTTTCCTTTCTTCTATGTTCCTCCGAGTCGACGAAGAAGGCTCTGCTTTTGCTTCTGTCGAGGCTGGGTAAGATCCATCTTTCCTCCTCGTCCGGTCTCTGGGTTTGATTCGATGTAAAATAGCTCAGATTTTGTTTTTCTTGACCGACAAGAGGCGAAACCCTGAAGAAAATGTAATTCTTGGTGTTCTTTCTTCAGATCCGCCGACCGGCGGGAAGCTTAGGGAATTAGGTTGGCTGAGATCCGAGGAAGGCCGTTGGGTTGAAGGAGGCCTCCTCGGATTCATGGCGCCGGATCGATGCCATTGGGTTCTGAGAACGTTGATGCTTCCCGAACCATTACCCTGGAATTGCAAGGATTTGGTGCTCAAGGACTCCGTGAAGCACGAGAGTCGGGGATGTCCTTCGCGACAGCCGCGGCTCCTCGTCTGCCCCGCGGTGGTGGGAACCTTACTTCGGTCCCCGTGACTTCCACCGCGCCTCCTCTCGCCGTTCCCTCGCAGGTAATCACCTCAATTCTGTCCCATATCCGAGAAATCCAAATTAAGATATTGCATTTTCCTGGTCGCCCTCTTTTTTCTGTTCTAGTTTGTAGAAGGTTTCTGATCAAAGCCATTTCCGGCATGGCGGTGGTTTCCATTAGATATGGGTGCACACCGTCATGGTCTGTTCGATTGTGGTTTGAAGCCGATGGCTTCAGGTCGCCTTCCATTAGATATGGTAGTCGTGGCCGTAGCTACAGCGGTGGCAGTATCTTTCCGGCGATTCCCGCATTGGGATTCCGGTGGTTTCTTGAGGCAGGATCCCCATGCGACAACAGAGAGGACAGTTTCAGCTCCAATCTCAGCCACCCCTGCGGTGATGTCGACGGTGGCTTGGGCGCAGGCTAAAGATTCGATAATCAAAGATGATTTGTTGGTTTCGATCTTGGCTCGCCCCGGTAGTGTGTTCTTGACAAAGACATGTAGATTGGAGTAGGGAGGAGGCTGGGCTTCAGATCAGATTCCTGTCTTTGATAAGTTTTGCTCTTCTCCCAGATGAAGCTGCTCCAAGGACGAAGGACGGCGCCAATGGCTGATCTATCTATGGACACTTCATTGGTGGTGGCACATAAAAGACTGCTAGTATTTCTGGATGTCTGTCACCGGCAACTCCGTGCTCTGCAACTTCAACTCGTCCGTCATTAGGTGAGTTGAGATCTTTAGTGTTTGTTTCTATTTCTGCTGAGCTTCTACCGGGGGATCGATCAATTGCTCGACCAATGCCACAAACTCTTCAGGTATTCTCCTTCCTCTTTCGAGTCGTGAATCGAGTGTCCTTTAGCTTGCAACTTTTTTGGATCACAAGCACAAATGCTCACACACAAGGCATTACGGCATCACAACAATGGCTATGATGGAGACGATTCGTCTCTTTCACGCATACAACAAACGAAGAAACATTTTCATACAGATTACATATCCACTCTATCAGCTATTATGGCCCTCAGCATCAACTTGTGAAACATTTTCATACAGATTACAGATCAAGTCTGATGTTTTATGTCAACAGCATGAAGCTGCAACCATCGACAGCTCCGTTCCTTCACAGACAACTGAACCTTGCAAACTTGTGATACAGCCGACGCCTATTACACACTATTTGACAGCCATGGGCTGGCTGACTGCATGGAGAAGACAACAAAGTCGCTAGTAGAGCTGTTCTCTTCTGTCCCGCAACCACCTCCACCTGCAACGAGACACAAGTTCTGCTTTAGTATCTCTGCCGTGCTTGGCGCAGAGAGGAGAGTAGCAAAGTGGGTCCGAGTACCAGAAGTAGTCCCAGCGAGGGCGTATCTTCGACATCCGGTTCTCTTCGTAGGGATACTCGGATTCAGCGCGGCGGGCGTTGCGGAAGGCGCAGCAGCCGATGGTGTAGATGGCGATGAGGAAGATGAGGACGACGACGTTGAGGACGGACAGCTTGTGCCAGTCCCTCCGCACCTGCTCCAGCACGCCAGCCTTGCACGAGTCGCAGGCGTAGCACAGCATGTTGGCTGCGTTGTTCCACCGGTAGCAGTCCTCGTCTTGCGCCATCACCACGCCCCCGGCGCCGTAGGTGCACGATGTCGGCGGCTTGCAGCAGCCCGACTGCATCGCACGTTGACGGTGAGCGTCGGATCAGATACGATCGATCGTTCCGATGAGTTTGACTCGTGGTGGTCGTAGTGACAGAAGCTACTCATCCGAGAAGGAGACGAGGATAGAGAGTTGCCGAGCGTTACCTGTATCGGGGAGAGGTCTCGCTGGAGATAGTCCAGAGGCGTCCAGAGAGCGATCTTGGCGCAGGTCTTCGACCCGACGACGCATGCCATCGCCGCCTTCCAGTACTGCCGCTCCGTGATCCTTCGGCGGAGCCATCCGGTGTAGTCGTCGAGGCGGTACTCGTGGTAGGGGCGACCAGGGACCTGGACCCCGCCGCCGCCGGCTGTGACGGCGAAGCCGAAGGCGGTGAGGCCGAGGAGGGTCCCGATGAGGAGCAGCATGACGAGGAGGTAGAGCCACAGCGCCCAGGCCACGTTGAAGCACGCGCCCACGAAGCCGGCCAGGGAGACGAGGAGCACCACGAAGCCCAGCACCAGGAGCGGCGTCTGCAGCGACGACTCGCACGTCGCCGAGCTCTTCGACATCCACAGCCCGCCGCCGATGATCGGGACCGACGCCAGGAGCGTCAACAGGTTCAGGCACCCGATCACCGAGTTGCTGAAGCGGTACATCCTGGCTTTTTGATCTCAAAATCTCTTTCTTTTACCCTTTCCGACGGCCGGTGGCCTTCTTCCTACGTTGCTCGCAGAAAAATTCTTGCTTTCTTCGAATGCCGGGATGCGGAGATTTGCCTTTTTTTTTCCTCCTTTCTGCGTGGCTCATTCTTTCTTCTGATTCTCTTTATTGTGTTTTTAGCTTTGAGGCGTCAGTGCGATTGATTGATTGATTCCAAAGAATAATGTTGCTGGCCCAGAGCATCCAAGCTTTTCGAAAGCTGGGTTGATGAGGGGGAAGAGCCTCCTGTCCTTTTTTTTTGGCCATGGATGGATTGATTGCTAATGGAGATTCCCCATTAGTGCTCGACAGAATAACTTGGTGTTGCTTTACGAGAGGATAAGAGCAGAAGAGACCACAACCCTAATCCACTCCGGAGAACTTGTTCTGATGGTACTGTAGCGAAGGGGAGTGTATCTGCAACCCCATGGAACAAAGGAGAGCATCTTGTACCAAGTTGAGGGGGGCCGAGAAGCTAGAGAACCATCAAGATGACTTCTATCAGGTAGGCTCTAATTCATGGACATAGGTACACTTTGCATTCATTTGCCTTTTAATCCAACCATCAACATTAAATATTGTCACCACCATATGTTGATCTTTGCTATCTTGTATTATAATATACTTCCTGCTTATAACATTTTTCTTTTCGCTTACCGCTTTGATTAGTAAATCCATTCTGTGCAGGTGGCTCGCCACCAGACATGCACAAAGCATGTCTGGTGGATGTCCTTACTTCAAAGCCCACGATTAGAGTGGTACCAAATAACAAAACAAGTGATGATCTCTAAACAATCTAGAGTTTAAGATGTCTTGCAAACTCTCAAACAGTCCGCCTTGAGAGTTTAAACTCTCAACATGTATCAAACTATTTGTAGTCTCAGTATTATTGCCAATGATTAAAAAAAATGCTAAGCGCTTGTTCGAGCGAAGCGAGATATTAAATGAGATAAAAAGAGCCATTAGTAGTGAAAAGTGGGGAAGGAGAGGGTAGTGATGGTAGAGGAACTTTCGAACATTGATTACGATGGTTACGGAAGCTACGGACGATAAGAACAACGACGAAGGAAGCTATGAACAATGGCACGACGACGAAAGCTTCATACGATAACAACAACGATGGAGGAAGCTGTTGATTATAATAGCAACGTCGAAGGAAGCTACGAATGTCGACGTTGTGGGCGGAGGAAACTTCAAAGGTGTTCGTCGGTGATAGAGGAAGATACGATCCTCTCCCTCGATGATGGAAGGAGTTACACACAGAAGCATCAATGGTGGCAGAGGGAACGACACATAAAAGCTAGGTCGTCGAACACCCATCAATAATAGAGGAATCGAGCAATCGCTTGAGTTTAGTCGGTTCGATTGCTTCACTTGAACCGAGCACTCGTTTAAGGCACCCTTGTGTTCAAGTGAGCGCCAAGCGACGCTTCAGTGAAGCGCATTGCTTGGCCAAGACTTAAGGCGTTCGAGCCTCGTCTCGTCTCACCCAGACGTCTTTTTAAACCCATGATTGTTGCTAGGAATATCATTATGAAATACTTTTCCTTGACACTTTCTAAATGACCAGACGATGGACTTAAAGAGATTTTACTTAGTGTTAGTGTCCTCTTGTTTCAGCGATTGAATTTACGAGCCACTCGGATGGAGAAGCGACAACTTTCGGATAGTGCTTCAGTGGTTCCAACAGTGCTTGGGGTACCGAGCGGTAGCATCGGCTGAGGCAAGTCAAATGAAGCAGGAGAAGATGTAAGGGAAGAAGGCACACATAGCAAGTCGAAGGAGAAACTGAAGGTGAGTTAACCGAACTTAGACGCAATGCTCGAATCCGAGGAAAGATAATTAAGAGAAAGGGAATTAATAACGAGGGGAGGTTGATGCTAAATGCTTTTCTCTATCAGTATGAGAATCTGAATAAACCTTGAACATTGGTTTCAGAGAGAAACTTACGCCTCGATAAGCTCCAGTCGCTTTCTCTTGCAGGAAGATGGTTTTCCTGCCCCTGTCCCGAACAAGAGAACGGTGGGATGATACCTCCAGCGAGAGCCCCATGGAAAAGCTCAAAGTCAGCATCATAGGATTCCACTCTCCTCGCACCGGCGATCATCTTAGCAGCTGATTCAACCCGTTCCTCGTTCGTCTCCCTGCCCTCCTCCTCCTCCGAAGGGGGTGCACTCGAGAAGGCCTCCCAGAATTCCAAGGGCTCCTCCCCTTCTTCGACCGTGGCATGTGGCCCCTGAACCCGCTCGTACCTTACCACCTGTAAGGCGGCAGCTTTTGCATCCTCCTCCATCGCGGGTTCACAGTCGTTACCGATCCACACATACAAGGATGAGAGGACATGAACGATGAATGCTCCCCTGGAATCCAAAGCGGCAGGAGATGGGTCGTTCAACATCCTGGGGACGAGATGCAGAGGATCGTACGGTGAGTGCGGAACCATTCGGTACATCGTCAGCACCGGAGCGGGACTCGGGGGGATGGCGTGGACCCTCTTCTGGCACTGCAGCAATTGACAAGCGAAGCCCATGTTGGGGTTGGCGATCCCCCTTGCCGTCTTCACAAACCGGAATGCATCATCGAAGCTCTGCCCTTCTCTCCACATCAGGTAAGCTATTACCAGAGAAGTCGACCGTGAAACACCGTGGCAGCAATGGACGAACACCCTCCCACCTTGCTCCCGCACATCCTCAAAGTAATCGAACACATCATACAGAATACTAATGATGTCCTCCGACGGGCTGTCCTGCAACCAAAGAGTCTTGTAGATGAGGTCTGATTTGAAGTACTCGGGGCAAACAAAACCAACACAGTTGAGGACATGGGTAATCCCGTGCTGGCGAAGGATTTCTCTGTTCCTAGCAACATAGTCTCCGCCGAGGTAGACATGGTCTGCGACCTTGGAGCACTCCTTGAAAGCGATCTGATCTCTCGTACCTGGGGTCCTTAGCGAAGAATGATCCGGCTTTAAGCCCTCGTCGGGCTTGGCACCGAGGGTGGGCGGATGGGGCCATTGCTCGAGGTCATCGGAACCGGGCTTAGGCCACTCGTCGAAGCTCCGGCGGGCGATGGCGAGAGGAGGGAGGCACGAGCGGGCCTTGTGGCTCTGCGATCTTGGAGTGAAGGGGGGAGGCGGGCAGGGAGCATCGGCCGAGTTGCTGTCCTCGGAGGTGGAATCTTTCGAATGGTCCTGCGCGGCGATCCGTGATGAGGACCATGACGAAGACCTCCAAAAAGTTCTCCGGACGCCGGAGGGCGGGCCAGCGGGCGCATCCTCTCCGCCCCTCATCTTGGCACCCTCCTCTATCATCCAACCGAACCCAACCCCAAGGAGTATAGCGAACCTAAACCGCTGCAAAGATGCAACCTTTCTTTAATCAACCGAGAATCGGATAAAAGACACAGGAAAAAGAATCGAGTTGTAGCCTATTGGCCAGCAGCAGTAAGGGACTCGATGCCTACCGGACGTCATTTTCAATGGGGAAAAGGCGGGATTGGCGAAGACAAACAAAGAAACGAGGTAATATAATGATGCAAGAACCAATGAAAACTCGCACGGAATAAGGGAAACGCAGCAGAACCCAAGAGAAAACCCTAGGAGCGTTGGATGACTCCCACGTTCATTTGCGCAGTTGTAAGTTGAATCAGGACCGTTGGATCGTGCCATATATATGTATGTATATATACACCCCCCCGATACGATGGACGGCCGCGCTAATAATGCCTTTTGACCCAGGTTGTTGTTCGGTGGTCGGCGTCGAGCGGTGAGGGTTTTATTAATGAGACATTAATTGCTTGACGATGGCTTGACGACGCCGGGGCGGTCAAAAGCGGCGATGTGGGAGACAGGGTGGTCAATGGTTTTTATGGCTGGGTGAGTTGGAACGATCAAAAAGGCTGGAGGCACGATTGACGACGACGTTCCCGCCTGCCTGCCTGCCTACTTTGCACGGCGTCATTATACAAATTCGACGACCGGGCTCAGTTTCTCAGCCACTCCAAGGATGGTTGGCACGGTGTTGCCATCCATCTACACCACCGGTTTGGTTTCGTAACCATATAAGCCTGCCTCTATAGTGATGGGATTTGGAATGTTTTGATAAAAAAAAAAAACCATCTGTCAATGGCAAAGGCGGAAAGAAAAAAAGAGATGACGACGATGATATATGATGAAACAATTCTAGTGACCGATGCACGCTTATAATGATGGAGGGAAACACTTGCATGCCTGTCGGCCTGCAAGTAAGCTGATTGGAAGGAAATATATGACAGCTACCGATAGAAGAGACGACGGCGACAGCAATAACACGATACTACTTGATGAGCAGTGATACTGACCGGGTGTAGGGATCAGGGCGGGACGCCGCAACCACATCGATAAGTCCTCGAAGGTGCCACAGCTGCGTCTGAGAAGACAAGGAAAAAGTCAGTACTTTTTACATGGCCTCGTTCCAACGCTGAAAAATAAAAATTAAAAAAAAAGTGAAAATGAAGGAGATTTGATGGGCTTATACCTCGCATGGAATTAGGATATATGGTGGTGTCATATACCCAAAAAGAAAATTTACGTAATGCTACCTCAAGACTGCCAGCTGGCAAACATACTACTTCGACAAAAAAAAAAGAAAAAAAGAAAAGAAAGATAGAAAAGATGCTTCGACCACAGCAAAGATGAAATTTTAGAGGCCGCCTTATATTTTGCATCTCAGTGCACCAACTTAACAGGCCGACCTTATCATTTTTTTATGCCTTTGTAAATAACAAAAGTCAATCACCCAGAGGAGGAATGTCCGATCAACATGCATGTAAATAAAGTAGAAGCAACAACAACCAACAGATTTGAGATTATTCAAAGAGCATGAATAATAATGCGGGCAAATAATTGCTGAAGTAGTTTCAGCAACTTCTGGATCTGAGGAACAATCGGGCACTTGCATGTGAATGTACAGCGGATTCAGCGTTTTACTGAAGGAAGCAAGAAGCAGGACCATATGGGGCTTCCCGTGCATGCTTATTGGTAACTGGGGCAGCTGCAATTCCACGATGGTTCAGCAAACATCTAAAATAATGTAGACGTGGCAGTACAGTTGTGTTCAGATTTCCAACAGAGGTGGCCTCCCATGAGCTCCACAAGCGCTCTACACAAATAATAGATAATATTGCATGTTGACCACTTTGTGCCAAATATCAGACAAAAAAGCTTTTTAAGTGTACCAAAAAAACAAAACAAAACAAAAAATAAATTGGAGAGTTTTAAGAACAAATTTATCTATCAACACACATCTCAATGCTCTAACACCTTATCTCTTTTAACTTTAATCTCCCTAGCATGCTGCTACTTAGCTGATGATCCCAGGAAAAATTCAAAAAAAAAAAAAAAAAACCCAAGCACAACAGAAGATTTGAAGTTCATATTTGTGACATAAGATGATTGATAGTTTTTAAATAAAGATCAATAGGTAGCTCTGTCCTCTAGGTTGTGGTGGTCATCAATAAATATGCAGCTTTGTGCTATACTACTGGACTCGCATTACATTTATTTATGAATTAATCTAGACGACTACAGATTTCTAAGAAATCCTGCATGCATCAGTTATCTTATACATACCCGCTGCGGCAGCAGCCCGTGGCCATATTGTTTGCTGAACATTGGATGTATCAACTGCCTCACCCCACATGCAAACCTCACCACCAAGCACAAGCTTTTGCTGTGTGATATTATTTATCCCTTCCAACGGCTCTGTGTTGTAAAAATTCTCCCATGGAACATCTAGATGATCAAGATACCATACTCCTTGGTTGCTCATGATACATCTAAAACCCTTTGCAACAGCTTGAGGGCAAACTCCAGGACCCAACCTGCAAAAAGTCAGCACTCAACAGACCTCGACGAAAAAAGATACGCACCAAAAATGTCACGTCAGTAAACAAAAAAAAACTATTTTATTAAACGAAAAACAGATGCAGTGAGCTATCAACCAGTTATGTACGACAGTTTGCAGATCGAGATTTTCCTTGAACGTATTGAAGGTTTCTTCCCTGAGATGATGCAGAAAATGGTATTGAAGGTTGAGATTTAAGATTCAAAAGCAATTGTTGATCTTCATTTCTAGATCACAATTAAAAGAAGTGACGGGAAACATGCATACCAGTTAACAGGAATCCAACCAAGAGAAGTAGCTATCTTTTGAGCCCTCAGTACAAAATATTGGTATGCTTCCTTGGTAGTCATATTCCGCTCCTGAAGCCTATCCAAACAATGTGGAACACAAAGAAAAAACAAATAGCTAGAATTGACTTAAATGCTAAATCAATAGCATAGATATATTTTCCCAATAATAAATCATGAAAGTGAACATATGAGGCAAATGATCATGTCAAGTGGGACTACCGCATGTCAAAAGTTAAGACTATAATATTCATCACCGGGATGGTACGTCAATGGAGTCCCAAAGATTTTATTATTGAAGAAAGTTTCGGCTTATCAAGATCTTTTTATTGATAAAAGACGAAAGAAATTAGTTACACGGTCAGAAAACAGGCAAACAAGCTTAACACCAGCAAATCCTGGAACATGGCCATTTCTAGTATTCTAGAGTTGCAAGTTTTCTGTCAGTGTTGAGACTTGAGACGATTGAAGATTCAGTACTTACCAAATCCCAATCAGAATGATACATGCCAAAAGTTGGAAAGGACAAGATATGTTATAACTGATTTGGTAATGGAGTCATGCAGATGATAGATGTATATTCAAAACAAGGCTACTGCTGCAGAAAAGTGTCTGACTTCTCATTTTTTTCTTTCTTATCAAAAGAAGAGGAAAGGAATAGAAGATAATGCTACAACACAACAGAGAGTAAAACTATCAGACATCACGAGGTTGGAGACGCACACTTCTGGTGTTCTAGAATCTAGAGTCACAGAGCAAAGATTTAAATCTTGGTCCTATGCCGGCTTCTGCAACCTACCAGACTGGTATGATAGTACACCAGAAAGTATATCAACGTCCACTCCAGATTCACTGGGCAATAGTATTGTACTGGTATTGACTTATATGTTTCGATATGGACACTTGGTTGTATTAGTAAATAGTGTTCTGTACCAACTAGTATGATTGAGATTTATAACCATTACAAAGTTTCTGCCTGCGATGATATGATTCAACATTCAACCTTTCCCAAATCCAGAGAGGAAAATACAGCAATTCTGCACATGTCACAATGATCTATAGTTCTACATGAAGGAGTGACATGTTCCTCCATTAACATATACAGAACACGGAATCTACATTTATAAGTGAAAAGGGCATCATACCATTGCTTGACATGACGGGTCGAATTCCAACAATCTGCCAGGTATTTACCGTGTCACAGTCAGGTAATATATGTTATATAGATGCTGTACTCTTTTATTTATAATTTCGGCACATAAAAATTCAGAAAAAAAAGCAAAAAATATATATGTGAAGTAAATTATATTGCAATTTGTAGCATTTAAATTCTTGATCAAAGTGGCGATGCAGCAAACAGGGCTGAAAATAAGCTTACCATCCATCGATCCCAATACTTCAGAGAGACACAGAGAGAGAGGATATTTGAAGTAATCATTTATGGTTGCAAATTTTGATTTAGTTTGTAAAAAATAAATAAAAGAAGAGAAATGCAAAATCATAGCTTACCGTTATATACAGATGCAACTGAAGAGGTCCAATTTTCATTTATTTGAGTTATTTAAGGAATATACATCAAATTCAACACCAAAGACGAATTTGAAGTTCTAAGTTAAGCTTCATATCAGTCAGAAAATTCTGTAGAACCAACTCCACCAGAGAACGTTTGCAATAAATCTCTAAATCTACAACAATTTCAGAATCAGTAACTTGAATTTGATCAATGGAAGGTAAATGTGTGCTACTGATTCGATGCATGCCATCTGTCATATGCGCTAGGCTCTTATGTGTTACAGTTGCCTTCATGATCACTTTTGTTGTCCAACACTGCAACTATCATTTGTCCAAATCCATCTTTTGATCATCTTTTCTTTTTTTACCATGAAAACCATGTGGTTTTTGCGCACTTTTTAAATAAACCAATACAAGGCAGGTAAAAACCTTACTTGAGGAACTCTTTTTACAAATTTATTGTTAATTTTCCATGAAAGATTTGTATCCAGTAACAATAACATGACTAAATGCAGTTACATGATTAGGTTGTTCTTATTAAAATTTTCAGCTTTCAAGATACATAACAAGTGAATCTCTCATGTGAACAGTTGCAACTCGCAATATTTTCAAATTTTAAGGATATAAACAGCATTATTTTCTTGTTTGAAAATCTTACAAAATTTATCAGGAAAATGCTAATGTTGTCACCATCACCATGTCTATGGCGGCAAAAGATCCAAGTAATTGACCCCAAATACTTAGGGCTTACGGTTTTGTTATTGTTATCACCACCACCATGTGTCTAAAAGGCTGATTAACGTGGCCTCTCCTGATGTCAGGCAATACATGGTTAACCGAAGTGACCAATGCTAATCAACTGAATGAATCCATCCGAAAATTCAGTAGTACCAAGCCTGTCCAAATTCAAGACATGTTGCTTTTTTGGTTTATCATGTTTGGTTGTCCGAGAATTTTAGATAGGCATGAAGTCCATTTTGAAGAGCTTTTTATGACTCTCAAGGTTAACACACATCCTTTTATACTCTTGATCTTAGCAAAATTTTCCTTGATCATCTTCTCCCATGAAATTAGGCAATATGTCAAACAATGTATATTTTTGTGCTATGATGTTTGTTATGCAATGATTATATGCTTTTTCATTTTATAATTTAGCAGAATCATAAGAAGATTGTTCCTTGGATCATTATAATATCTTTACTCTACTCGAGCACCTTGGAAATAAAAGAAAGCCAAAAATAGAACCAGATATATATAATCCTAATTAACCTATTCTAGAAACAACATTTATTTCATTCAAGCAAGATAGTGAGAAACTAATCAAAACTGGAAAGGTAATGGAAACTAGACAATCTGCACACTGACCAGTATTGACTTCATCTCCTCCTAAATGAAAGAGCCCAAATGGAAAGATCTTTCTCATGTCTGCAATAGAACATCAGTCAATACACTAATAGTAGCCAATAACATAAACCAAATATTCATGTTGTCATACTTCAAATCCCTAATGTCAACCACTCCTCTTCTAGGAAGCCGAAGAAGATAGTGGTGAACATCAAGTAGATCTGGCAAATCCATAAGATGATGACAAACTCATGGGCAGAACCAACTGGACTGTCGACCATGAGGCCCAGATAAATATAATATAGTTCTGGCTATATGCTGGAACATGCTTAATATGGCGGCAAATTCACGGCCAAACCAAGTGGCTTCGCTTGATCATGGACCAGGATGCCTAGCTGAGTATGATATAGTTATGGCCATATGGAGGATCAAATTCAGTAAAGGTAAAATACCCATAGGTAAATTATACTCGGTTATGCACTGCCAAAGTTGATGCTTTATGATAATATCCAGATCTATGCTGAAAAAGGCTTGACCACATGGTTATGCCACGTGTGTTCCTTCTTGGCTTGATTTTAGACTTCACAGTTCACACAACTTCAACTTTGCATCATCGGAATTGACGAGCTTGGATGTGAAGTGTTTAAAAAAGTTGGATATGAAATAATGTAAAAGAAAGCAATCTACATCAGACAAAGATATATACTATATGCTACCTTGAGTTGACTATACAGATAGGAGCTACACTGTTTATCCTTATTAGACTAGAGAAAGAAGCATTTCTATGTTACATATAGCATCTTATAATGGATACATTCTAGGACACCAGTGCATCAATATTACTCTTGCCATAGAACCTTGTCCTGTACGATAATTGGAATATCAACACTTTATGCATAGCATTGGCTGGTTCAGAATTTAACAACAGATATTGGTTTACCACATAGAAATATTTTACTAATATTACAGAATATATAATCTGATCTGACAACTCATTTTTTTTCTTTGCACCTGCATTAAACTATTAAAAGGAAGATTATCGTGAGGAAACAGAGTATTGTAGAATGATCATTTAACATTTGATTGGAGATTTCACAACATGGAGGAACAAAAATTAACACAACTCACCAGTCAAAATCCCAGAAATGACTTCAAACGTGAAATTCTTGCTCACATCTAGGGGCTCAGTGCAATTAGCAGAAGGCCAAAGATCGGGATAACCAGCACCCCTGCATAGAAAGCCGAAGAGGTTTCCAGAACTCCTATTTATAACCAAAGCCTATAATCTAGAAACAACCTGTACATTTCATCACAAAGATACGAGTCCAAAGGCTAACTTTAACAATTGAAATGGAACATGGAGAAAATTGGGTTTGAATTTAAGTCTATCTTGAGTCCTGTTAAATAGAGATTGAGCTTATTGGTCAGGTTAGATCCAAGTTAATATTATACTTATGGGCCCAGTTCATTGTGTCATGAGTTCTTTTTCCTATTCTTCTAAAATTTGTCATTTTTAACATAAATATCTTGAGGAGACCAATTACATGAAAATTACATCTATTTATCTTAATTAGGCTAGCATCCTAATCTCATCTTTATTTTCTATTGAGATGCTAAAGAGTTCTAAGTTTGCTATGTTCAGTTGATTGCTAAGTGTCAGATTTGCATGAGAAAATATGGCAAACACAAATCATCAAATTGGCTTTTATATGACCAAATACTCAAGAATACAGCTGGGAAAAGAAGAAAAAAGATAAATATTATATCTAATAATAATTTAAAAGTCCTACAAGTCTTTAATGATAAATCGAATTATTATAATTTCTTAATGAAACTGAGGTTCTTTGTGGCCTACAGACCATAGGTTATTCTCTTTCCCTATCTTTTATGAGGTTGGTCCAATTTCTAATCCTCGTCTTTTAAAAAAGTTAAAGCAGGAACCTAGTTTTCCTGAAAATGAATAGGTAAGAAACTTTCAATGCCAGTAAAATCAATAATTAGCTGCATATATATTGAGACTTGTGAGAACATGATAAAATAGTAGACACAATGCAGCAATTTTTAATCTTTGATGACTAGAAAGGTAAAACTATAAAAGAAATGATCATAAGACCTTCTTTGTTCCCATGTGGCCCTTTGACTAAGAATGAGTGATACTGGCATATTAAGTTCATGGCATTGTAAAGAACAAAAGGACAAAAAAGAAGAACAGTGCTACGAACTCTGAACTTGGATGTTACAGTGAAAACCATCTCAATGTTACCACCAACAGGACCTACAAAATTATGCCCATTTCCTTGCAAACTTAGTCTCAGAACCAACTTGATGGCATGTTATACAAAGTTAGCAGGTTAAATCTACGTGATCAGGTCCACTTTAAAAAAAAAGGTGCCAAACCTAGCAAACACAACAAAAAATGAACAAACTATATTGATGTTCAGCACCATGAGTCTCTTTTTAGCCTGACCAAAGTGATCGATGAAATTTACAAAACACATTTCCTCGCTGAATTAATCAAATGGGAAAAGTTGGAATAGCTGGCTCCCAAACTAATGGACGCTACCTGTTCTCAGAGAAAAGGAATTTTTGTCCACGGTACAGAATAGTAATATCAGTGAATACCCTTAAAGTTCATGAATGTTGAAACATAAGAAAGTTAGGTTATGTCAAAGCAAAGATCTCCTGTCGCCTCCCAAGACATGGTCAAACCAACAAGATGAGTTTCTGAAATCATAAAGAAAGCAGGACATTCACCTTTTGTTTTACTTATCTATGTTTACAGTGTTATGATAACAAGAAATATATCCATATTGATAAGAGAGTTATTTAGATGTTAGTGACCTTAATATCAACTTTAAATATCTAAGATTTCAAGTATAATTAATATAGTTCAAGCACAGTTGAAAAATTGCTTTCTAGAATGGAATCTGTTACATTAGCTCATAGGATTTGTACAATTACCATGATTCACCATGCCCAGGGACATCAACTTCAGCCATGATGTGGATACCTGATAAGGGACAGTCAAAGCAATCAAATAACTACAACAGAAAATGCAGCCAACCAAGTAAATATTTTTCCAACTAATAAGTAATAACTAAGCATGACCTACTGAAGTATCAAATCTGTGTCCTGTCTACCAGAGAGATTAATAACAGTATCAAAAAGTTTAGAATGGAAAATTAAAAAATCAAATCAAATGTACCTCTTTTCTTGGCAAAGCTTTCAACCACAAGATTTGCATGCACATGGACAGGAGAGAGAAACAAAGATGTCAGCATAAAACCAAATTATAAAGTTAATAGCACTAGAACCATTTAAACCTCAGAACTTCAAATACAACATGAATAGGCCATCTCATGGAAAAAAAAAGTGTAGAATGTTTAATGACAAAGGTAATAGCAAAATAAATTGTAAAAATATGTAACTGCAATCTCACAGGAAAATAATATTGTGCTAAGAATGTTCTAAGAGTTATCTGGACTTCAATTCATTAAGGATGCTTTTAGTTTGGAATTTCCAGCTATATATGTAGGCTTCAATCTACAACTCGGCAATCTTTCTAGTTTCAAGTACTCATGCAGATTCCTAGCATCGCTTCTCATTATCATTTTCACATGTCAAAATCTAATGTTGACCACGCCAGGCAGATCATTATGTGGACATCAACACACCCAATATGGTATATTCTTATTATTTTAAGTTACCATTCGATAGGTTTTTTATTAATACAATACCCTGAGCCTCTGAAATTGGAACCTGATTGGGAAAGATCAGCAAAACGACCATAAAAATTTTGATGCAGTATATACTGCATAAACCAAGAAAATGGATCCTGCAATGTCATAGCCATGATAACATTGATGCTTCAAGCCATAACATCATGGGCACAAGATATATGCTCCCTATGCAAGTTGACAAAATTTCACTTCAAACTTCATTGACTAAGAATTGCCTCATTTAATAAGGACATAACTACCATAAGAACAACCAAAGAAATATATTATCAAGCCTCTCACAAGCACAAGCAAGAAGATGAACCTGCAGAAAATAATCTTTGTGCATTTGTTCACAAAAAGAAAAAACAGACATTATTTAGAATGAATTAATTAACTGAAGCAGTTTCAAGAAACATTCATTTCGTTGTTTAACCCAGCTGCCAGCGGAGATGGAAAAAATATCACAGCTAATATTGCAAAGGCAGAACAGAGCTCAAGAAACAACTTACTCAACAACTTCATAAGCATCCTCAACCGTGTACCTCTCCAGCTTTGAGTAAGCACCTTTCCACAAGTTAGGATATGAAGGTACCTCTAACGGGAATGATTGTTCATCTACAATGTGCCAGTGAAGAACATTCTACTGAATGTCATTTCCAATGTCAGCAAATGTAGAACAAATTATCGAAAAAAGGGCCAAAAGCAAGAAAAAAAAAGAACTAAGCGAAATGGAAGTGAGAAAATTTTTGAAAATAACACTTCTTACAAGTTTAGCATAGGACATAGCATCAATCACTTGCTTGATCACATTTACTGGTAAGTAATGTCGTGAAGTATCTAGAAATAAGAATAGGCACATACAGTATCAGTTTTCAATTAGTGAATATGAAAGGGGGGAAAAACTCTGCAGTAAAGAATGCATAGTAACAGAATTGTCCTACCAATAAGAAGCCCTCGGAAGGAAAACCGTGGTTCATCTTCAATGTACCATGGTGCTTTCTGAATTTCTACAGTTTTATTTTCAGTGTTGGGTGTACATAGTTGGCTGAAAGTCTAGAATGAATTCGTTTGATCATAAAAGGATGTCAGCACTTCCCATTTAGCAATATCAACCAGAACTATAACATGAAAAAGACTAACTACCCCTAGCTTTAAGCAACTTTGAACTGCGAAACAATGAATTTTAAGCTAAATGCATGCTGTCCAAATACATAACATACACACACACAAATATAATATATATATACGTATGTGTATATGTATATGTATATGTATATGTATATGTATATATGTATACGTATACGTCGTATACATATATATATACATATACATATATACATATACATATATATATATATACATATATATATATATATATATACATATATATATATATATATATATCCTAGTTCTGACTTAATAATCATGCGATTTTTGCATGCACTCATTATTTGTACCAGAAATTGGACAAAAATAAATCTTCATTGAAATCCAATGTAATTAATACAATTAAAAAAGGACAAGGTAACCAACAAAAATAGCCTTGTAACATACATGTACAATAAGAAATTCTAGAAAATCAGGGTTCTAAGAAATCCAAAGGGAAAATTTTCTCATTAAGGTCAGGAAAAGCAATTATAGAGTATAAAAGCAAATTACAAAGGATGTCGAGTGTTGTACTCGAGAATTCATGTATCAAGAAGTATCGATTGTACCCTAGATCTCAGGCTGACAGCTTCAGGGAGAAGATTTTGGTACTATTTCAGAGTTACAGATATTTTTCAGCAAATATCAATAGGCATTATTTCAAAAATATCTTGGCCTAGGATTTATTTCTCATGAGTCTATATCAAGCATATCATCAGACCACATCTTGGTCGTGCCATAATCCTTAGTGTTGACCCATGAACCTCTAATTTACCTCTCTTTATACCCCTACTTATTGTCTTCAAATACTATCCAAGGCATCAGTAAACGAGCATCAAAATGCTACATACATTTAGCAATTAATTCGAACAAGAATCGCTCATAAATCATGTTTGGCATGCATTTAGCTGTGTGTATTGCTAGTGTTGGAAACAAGATCTTGATCTTACATTCTCATTTTACACTCTTTCTTCAAATTACAGATGGGGAACCACGTATGATCACTGCTGCATTCTATACAAATATCTCTCAAGTGCAGTGGCAAACAGTGATAAGCATCATAGGTATTCCATAGCAGCCTTGGGTCTTCACCTCATATAACTTTCCAGCAAATTATGAAAGTAGCCCAGGGCCATCATCAACATAATTAATTAATGCTGGTTGGAAATGATATGCCAAGCTTCCCTAAACATGATTAACAACTCATACTGGGCATGGGTCAGAACAGACATCAGGCTGGATAGGGTACAGGTGCATATCAGATTGAATCAAACCTGCCTGGCTAACTAGGTGGTTATGATTTCTTGACCAGGAACAATCCATAGCTAATGAATTGAGTCGAGCAGGGTTCAACAATTAAGGTTGGCAGCTAAGATAAATTTTGCTCTATTATCAGGGGAAAATAAATGGGTCAAGTTGAACCTTATTATCGAAGAAACAAATGTCTGACCCATACCCAACCTGATAAACTAGCATGTCATAGGTTTTTTTGACTGAAATTGATTCCAACAAATCATATTAAACAGTTTGGGTCCGGTTGACTTGACAGATCTGGACCAAGCTTTCTAACCCTAGTAACAGAAGGTTAAATGGAATGCATTGACGAGTTCCTATGCATGACCAAATAGCTAAGGATATGATACATGGTATACAGATGGAACTACATAGAAAATATGTGAAGACAGTATTTGAAGAATGAACCAATCAGGTCAAGAGCCTGCAAAAGTTTGTATCATTTAAATCTGTTATTAGATGTTACATATGGAAAATATGGGTATAAATCGTATTGATGAGAATTGAATCTGAAATATAAGAAGCATGATCTACAAAAGATAATACAATCTTATGGCTTAACATATTAAGTATAAAAACAACAATTTTGAAGAATACCTCTAAGCCTCGCAAAGCCCCATAAACAGTATTGGCCTGCGAGATAAGAAAAACTCAAATATCAGTCACAGCTACCTGAAGAAACATAAAGTTTCATAATATAAAGGATCACATCACAAGATGGAGGAAGAGGCAGAACAAGATTAAGATGTAAATTATCATCTCACCAAAGAGTAGCACCAACCAATGAATCATATCAATGCCATGCGATCAATGTAACTACATAATGCTGACAAATAAAAGGATTTTAACAGTACATATGGAGTATCATTGCTCGCTGCTGCTAGTGAAAGACATGCATGTGATTCGGGTATCATTTTGGTATCAACTGGAAGAGTATGTGAGCTAGTTAGCATGCCATGTCAGGCATACAACACATACCAGAGCAAACAAAATGTAACATTACAGATGCAAAATTGTAACGTACTGTTATATGATGGCATAAACTCAGTATGCACTATGTTCTTCACAACATAATGTCAAAGATAAACCCAAGGGACTTTTGTGGATAAAGAAAAATGGACAAACTTGTTTTTACGAAAGAAGACAACAAATGTAGCTTACATGCGCATCAATAAAATAATTACTAAGTTATACCAGGCAAACTAATTATAACACCAGTGCATATTTTTTTGTATCAAGAAGTCATAAAAGAAAGCAGAGTAAACCAGCAATTTCAGAAGACAAACTTTTCCCTTTACACAAAGGATACAGACTGTGGAGATACTCCACTAAATGTGAGGAAGAAAGGATCCATATCTAGAGGAACCATCAATGATCATCATCACACAGTATATCCATTCAACAGATCAGATGTTAGTCACGTTTCTGCTGTAAAATAATTATTTACAACTAGTACATACGACTCCATCATCGAGTGCTCGTTGGCAGATATGTTATGGAAGAAAAATGATGCAGTTATCTCGAAATAAATATGAACTGGTGGAGATCTTCTTGACACAAGACTAGTATGTCTCTGAAGGTAGAAGTTGCACTATTTTGTTAGAATACCACAATTGATTTTACAATCATATCCTCCGCGGGTTCATATTGTCTCCGCTAATTCGTTTCCAATGCAGTCCTTTATTGTCCTTTTCATCTTGATCAATATTACGATTCAGAGATGAATTTTGTTTGCATGTGTCTTCCCAAGAATATAACCGTAATCCTAACATATAACATGCTCAGTACCTCAATCGCTGCTCCGTTAACAACCGAAAAGCTCTCTCCTCCGCCCACAGAAAGCGTGTAGCTCTCGTCCACACCAAATTGAAGCTGCTTAAAAGCAGAACAAAGCCGTCTAATCAAATCAAGAAACAGCCAAGAAATCGAACGGCCAACCAATCATTTCAAGAACGAACTGCTCCCTACCGTATCGTCATTCGAAGCGACGAGGACCGTCAGCTTGTTGACATCGTAATCCATATAGCTCCGCTGGGCCGACCTCTCCCACTGCGTAAAGATCAGATCTCTGTACCTTTCGAACGCCTCGGACAAGGCAAGGGATTCTCCTCCGGGGATCTGGAGATCGAGGGCGAGGTCGGGGTCGACAGAGAGAGTCCGATAACCGTGGCGGAAGAGCTTGGGGAGGGGCCAGAGATAGACGAGCTGGTCGTCGGCGGAGGAGCTCGCGGGGCGGCGATGGGGAATCCGGCCGTGGGAGGGTGAAAGGAGGAGGGAGGCAGCGAGAGAGAGGAGGAGGAAACAAGGGAGGGCGAAGGGATCAAATGTTTTGGAAGCCATCTTGACCGCGGGGAGTGAAATCGGAGCTCGGAAGGGGGATGCGCTGCACACTTGACTTTATAGTGGTTGGGGACTGGCCGGTACCCACGGACAGCTGGCGTCAAACTCAGTCATGATTGAGTTCGATGCAAGAAGGGATGGGAGGACGGTTTAGTGGTCCTTCGGCCAGCGTCGCCAGACACGATAGAATTACACCATAAATACACGGGGTTGAGGAGAGGTTTGTAGGCGCGCGCAGGATCCAGTGCAAGGGACACTCTTGGACCCATCTTTGCTGTATGTGACAAGTATTATCATCTATGTGTTCGCATGTGGGCACTGCATGCATTTTTCTGACGAGTGTCGCCAGATGGCAGCAAATGCTGTCGTTCGGTAGTTCGGATCTTGTTTGAAGTATCGGATCCAAGCATCTTAAATGCATGCACAAGAGATTAACATGCAGGAAGCAATTTCTCATGCTTATCCAATTATCCAGTAGTAACTGAAGCCCTTCAACACTAAAAACCTGAGAGATACACTGTACCAAAGGCTGAGACAGAAACAAGAGAGCAATCTATCATGCTAAAATTCCAGATCAGTAATTCACTTCTAGACAATTAAGAAGGCAACTAACCACATGGATCTCAACTAGAGATCGAACCATGAATTTTTTTGTTACGTAACAATTCAGAAGAACATGAATGTACAAAGAGTCAGTACTACCAAATTGTGATACATACGAGATGGATGAATGGTGTTCCAACTCAAAAAATGTGGTCATCCATACTTCCGCTAATTATGCTAAGCAATATGGAGTTCGATGTACATTTATAATAAACAAAACAATTGTCTATTAGTAACTTGTAAGCACATTAAAGAATAAAGTTGCAATGCAATCATCCCAAAATGGACAAGCCATCTGCTGGGGTTCAACACTTACATCAAATCTGAAACTTGACAAAGCGTTTACAAGTATCAAATCCTCGGACAAAGAAAGCTAAGGTTGCTTCTTCATTTGTTTTTTAACCTTTGACATAATCTGTACTGCATTACATGCTGGCTTCCATAAAGAAGGATGCTGCTTCAGAAGAAACCATTTTGCGATGGAGAAACCATGGCAACATATCAGTCGGTAGATTTGATAGGAACACCAATACCGTTAAGTTGCCTGTAAATCTTTCGAAACATTGATCTTACTAAAAAAACAAAACTACAATAATCTTATTTTTAAAAAAAGCTACGGACAGTCCTCTAGAACACTAATAATGCCAATGAGGCTAACTTCTACAAAAAGTTCATTTGTGAATGCAACTGAAAAGCAACACACAAAGGTGAAAATATAGATCCTACTATCAAATGTATGAAGAAAGAGCAGTCTATAATGTTTGAAATTTCACATAATGCTGACAGGTAGCATTTAACTCTGGCAAGATAAAGGAGAGAGATCCATTTACTAACCGCCACCTATTGAAGAATTGCCATTTTTCGTACAACTTGTTTCTGTTGGAAATTGTTGCAATGGCAGGCTTCCGACTTCATTCTATCTTGCTAATATTGGTATCATGGATGTTAGACCTTATGTGTTCTGTGGTTCTCAAGCAGATAGCTTATTTCATCTGTTCTCCGACTGCCAGTTTGCTCATTCTGTTTTCTCTATCCTAAAGCACAAGTTGGATATTTCATTTAGATTTTATGATCAATGGCATATTGGATCTTGGCATAGGGAAGGATTCGATTTGGGTAAACAATCTTGTTTAACCCTTAGAGCCCTTATTGCTTATGCCTTTTGGATGATCTGGAAGGCCCGCAATGATGTCCTCTTTAGTGGTAAACTGGTTGCCCCTTGCAGCGTATTCTGCAAGGTGGTAGCATGTGTTGCTACACATTCTGTTTGGATCCCGCCTGAGAGCACCCCCGGCCCTCCTAACCAGATTTTGGTTGTGTGGAGCCCGCCGAATGTGGGTTGGTGTAAATTGAATGTGGATGGAGCTTATTGTAAGGATTCTGGTCTAGGGGGTACGGGTTATTTAATCCAAAATGACGCTGGTGAGTGTCTTGCTGCAGGGTGCAGGTTTTTGGAGAACAAGGACAGTCTTTATGCGGAGATGTTTGTCGTACTGGAGGGCCTTCGGCATACTGCTGATGAAGGGGTGAAATCTATTGTTGTTAGTCGGACTCAGCTATCATCATCAAAACCCTCAACAAGGGATCCCAACCACCTAGGAACCTAATTAATGTTGTCAGTGATGTGTGACATATTTTGGAGTCCTTCCATAATTTTAAAGTTGTTCATGTATTCGGGGAAGGAAACAAGTGTGTAGATTGGTTGGCCACTTGGGTGCGGTCAACTAAAAACTCTTTTTTGTGGAGAGATCATGGCCAGATCCTTTTGCTGCATTTTGAGTGCTGATTTTTCTATCACTGGTTGTATTTGCTCCATTTAAGCTAATATAGTATTATTTTTGGAAAAAAATAATAATAATTTGCCATTCCAATGATCCAGAGTAATAATAGGCTGTGGCATGACCAATTACTTCCACTAAATTTCAATTTATGTTATCATTTCATATAGAAAAGGAGTAATTTCTGCACTTAAAGGTGGTCCTCTGAAAATTTGGGATAGCGCACTGTGGCCCCACATCAGAAAAGCTGATAAAACGATACATAGCCAGTATCTTTTAACCATGTGATTAATTTCCTGAAATTAGCCACCATACAGAAAATCCAAACTTTTGTTTCTAAAAGGTTCAAGTACTATGTGATTAATTTCCTGAAATTAGCCACCGTACAGAAAATCCAAACTTTAGTTTCCAAAAGGTTATGGTACTTATGTGGCTTTCCATCCACATACAGAGATCCCAAACTTTGGTTTCTAAAAGGTTCTGGTAATTAACTAATTATGTGGCTTTTCAAGCACATTATCCCTTCCAAGCCACAAATGGTTACATTGAAACTAAGAACTAAAGGCAGTTAAATTCTATCAACCAAACTGATTCTAGTAAAGAACTGAACCGGTCAGTCTAATTTAAGTCGTAGTAGTAATTCTTCACAACCTGAAAACCATAAAAGATGTAGGACTTACTGAATCTTTTTGTTGCAGTATCATAGAAGACTCAATAAGGGAGCACATTCATCAAAGTGAATATTTCTCAGAAGCTCCAAGTAGATGGTCACATGATACATGAGCAAAATAATTATCATTGTTGCAGTATCCCAAAGGACCCAATTATGGAGCACATTTGTCAATACATATATTCTCAGAACCAACAAGTAGATGGTCCATGATACATGAGTAAAAATGTTCTCACTACTACTGTCGGTAAGAAATGGTTTTCACTACATTACAAGACATAAAACAAGAAGCAACTATATTTTAAGGATTTTAAAACATCAAACACTCTGCTTTGCATATCATCAAGAAACTACAACGAAGATCCTATTCACGAGCAATAAGTTGCCTGACACTAATGCTAAAGTTCATCATGCTCTTGGTGTTCAATGTCAAAGCAGACCTACATTCTTAAGCTCCCATTTTCCATGATTAGGACGATTTGATCCATGTTCTCAAACTTATTTATAAAAGCATATACACCTATGATTATGACATACTTATCTACAGTGTCATGCTACGGTATTATTCGAATAAAATTATAAATTGCATGCTACAAATTTACCGGTGGACAGAACATTTAGCGACAGATATAACTTCAAAAGAGAGATTTCACAGAGATACTTCACGATCTTCCTATAGAAAGCATCCGAACATGAATCATGGCAAACAAGGAACAGAGAAAGGGATAATTTGCACAAAAACAAGCAAGACGAGTACTTCAGTTCCCTCCATCTATCTCCTTGCTTGAATCCCCAAACTTCTGTTTGAAGGAATCTTGCCTCTGCATCCACATCATGTGAGCCTGCAGAAACTCTTGAAGCGTCAAATCGATCGAGGGATTATCATAAATTAGCGAAAGAAGAGGGACTGGATCGGATTGCGAATCTGAGGGGGAAGTGGGAGGATGTCAAGAATCACCTGCAAGGCGGCGGCCCAAGCAACGATGAAGGAAGCGACCCAAAACTTTTTCTCCTTGAGAAGCTTCGACACCTCCATCGGCCAGAGAAACGTCGGGAGATCAAAGACCCTAATAGTGCCGGCGGAAGAGAGGCCGACAGCCGCTTAGTTATACGCTGGGAAACGTTATAAAGGTCACGTGGTGTCGCTGGTCGATCGATACCGATATAAATCACACGGAAGCGGAACACCACAACAGCACTCGATGTCCGACACATAGGCTTGTGGAAGTACCAATAACATCACTAGCATGATCATAAAATTGTATATAATCCACGATTTATTTTTTTAATTAAATAATTTACATTGACAAAAAAAACATAAGATTCAATCTGACCGTATTAAATCTTAAGGTTTTGTAAAATAGCCCATGTGTACATTTGAACATCATATCATTATCAGCTTGTGTCGTGGGGGGGAGTACTATCGATCGTGAGTCAGTATGATTTAATCTTAACCTGAAGGTACGAGGTTGTTCAAGGAACCCTTATCATAGTTGACGAAGCAATTGATAGGTCACTCAAGCATCTGAGGTGGAATCCGAGCGCTCAATGTGGTTTCGAGGCTCAATCGTGGTGGAATTTGGTTTTTTTGTAGGTTTCTGTATAAAGATCAACGTCCGAAGAGTTTTCGACCTAACCCCTTTGATGCTCCAGTCAATTTTTTATAGTGGTATATAGTGTATAAGGGTTATTTGCTGAGAGATCCGACTCTTATGCTAGCATTAGGGGTCGACTTTATACTTGTCCAATCGAGAGAATCACTAATCATAATATTCTCCCTTTAGCATTTAGTCCATAGGAGCTACAGGCTTGAACAGACTCCCATAGACTATTATCCACGAAGGCTTATTAAGGGGGGTCAATCTCGAATAGTCACCTGTAGAGTTATCCATGAGGGGTCGATAGGTCGTAATTGTCTTTGCATCACTACCCTGTGGGGGATGTTTCGACGCTATCTTTCATGTCAATACCTCTGTGGACCAATTAGTGGGCTGATACTAGGAATATTCAGTATCGTCCGATACCGATTTAATCACTCTATCGGTATGATATATTAGGTGATATAATATATCGTATAGCATATACGTAAACAAATCATTTATCCACCGGTGGCTCAGAGGAATATTCACATTTTTTTCTTGAGAAGCTCTTATTACCACAGCCAAAGACGATTCATACCGTACTTCTCTTAGAGTGCTTTCTGGTGGCTGCCCTGTGGGCTGAGCTCTGATCACCAGTCTTCATATGCACACAGGTTTCGACGAACCAAAGGCAAAAGCTAGCATTCACATATTACATTCCTACTACATTTTTATCTTTGGATCATTTTGGGCTGACGCGTCTCTGAACAGCTCTGTTTCTTCTGTCCTTTCGTTTACGTCCTCCACTGTTCTTCCTGCTGTTCATCGTTTTCTTCCGAAGGTGCTGTGCGTTTGCTTCTTTGCGCTTTCTGTGGATGCATTGGACCCGCCCATTACGTTGGGTCTTCATCTGCTCGTGCGCATATCCGATGACAGGAAACATTAGCCATGTGTAAGCTGTAGAAATTTCTACCATACGAGCTTTAAGCTTTACCTGTCCGCCTCGCAGGAGGAGGACCTGTTCAGGGCATGGAACTCAGAACAGCCAAGGTCCCTTCTTCGTCGTCTCGATCAAGCTCCCGACGAGTGTGGTCTTTGTCCTCCGGCCCGATCCTGGCCGAGCCATTGCCCGCCATCAAGTCGACGGTTTCCTTCGCGCCTCCAAAAGAAGACCGTCCACGTGGCGACGCCCTGTCCGTGCACCGTGGCAGCGGCGCCGCCACCGAGATACCGTGGCGGTCCTTCACGTTGATGGAGCCGCACGAGAGGAGGTGCATCAGCACCGAGGACGCCCGCAACCGCCCGCCCGAGTAGCTCTCCGTCGGCCGATTCTGATCCTCCGGCCCCGCGGCCACCGCTCGCCCGTCCGCCTTGATCAGCATCTCCAGGATCTCCGGACTGGAAGACGACGGCGGCGGCGAGATGTCCTCCCTCTCCAGCTCGGTTGTCGGGGGTTCCGCTCGGTCCCTGTCGTTCCCCGCGGCAGCGTCTTCTCGCTGCCTGCATCTCCAATCGTCCGTCTGCGTCGACGCGTCCGCCGCCCTGACGCCGGTCTCGGCCACCGGGTCGGTCTTGTAGACCTTGTACTCGTTGAGGTCGAAGGAGCTCCAAGTCGCCCTTTTGTTTCTGATCTGCAAGGTTTCGAGGTCGTCGTGCACGAATGTGGAGACGTGCAGGGGTTTGTTGGAGGCATAAAAGGCGGCCTTGGCGTCGAGGGAACTCGAAGAAGGGACGGGTATGAGGAGGAGCTCCGACCCCTTGAGGACGTACTCATGGCCGTGCGCAGGGTGGATCAGATCGTCTTCGACGAGATCTTGCCACACGAATCCATTCTTGTAGCTCCTAAAACGTTCCAACCCGCCCCGGTGAGAAACAAAGGGAACACGGAAGAAGGGAGGCAAAAGCAGCAGTGGAAATGGACGGGGAAGCGCTACCGTTTGGAAGACCAAGAGTACAGATTGGCCATTCCCTTGCCTCTGAGGAAGTTGAGACGATCGATCACATCTAGAAGTAGATGAACACAATCAAAATCGAGAACGAGAAAGAACAATGGATCGCGGTCGTTCTGTTTCCGGTATACCTCGAAGGAAGAGTCCGCGGCAGGAGGAGAGCGTGACCTCCATGAAGTGGGGGTGCTCCAACTGACCATTCCGGGAGAGGTAGTACACCACGGGGACCCTCCTCGGCCGCGTCTCCTTCGACGCCTTGGTCCTCTCGGGACTCGTCTCCGGAGGAGGCTCCATCCGCCCTCTCGAGGCAGCCATCGCCGTCGCCGCCTGCTGATCCAAAGGGATTCGGGGAACGAGAGCAGCCGAGTCGGGGAGCGGAGACGCGGGCGGATTCAAACGGAGGAATGGGCTCAAAGGACGCCCGCCTTACTTACTATATCGGGGAAAATAATGTCGATCATCGATACAATAATTATAATTCGCGTTGGTGTCTAACAGTGATCGACGATAATACAGATGAATCTATCTCCATCACGTCCGTAAGTGTATTTGGATCCGACGATGGCGTCGGAACAGTAAGGATACTCTATCAATGATTGGAGGAACAATGTTGAGTAAAGAGAAGGTGAATCGAGTAACTGATGTGACCTCAAATCAAGGCATGAAGACAAAAGCCGACGCAGCACGAACCCATGGCTTCTCCCCAACCACCGCGCACGGGGGAGGAAATCGCTCCATCCCTCCATGATCGCGCTGTGCTCCATCCATCAGGTTGGGTGCATTAGATTTGTGAGAGACCACATCACCCTGGAAAAGAAGATCGCAACTGGAAATACAAGTTTCATCAGGACAGTGATGTGTCAGGAATGTTTGGTCCTCTAACACGACTGGCTGCATGCATGCAGAGATGGCACGAAATGGACGTCACAGACAAACCCTTCCAGGAATCGTCTGCGCAAAGGTCCCAGTGATGACAAAAGTCCGGATTCGATCCAGCTATCAGATCGTTGAGCTGATCTGCTTTCGAGCTTGGCCTCCACAGTTCATGCCAACAGTAGTTTGGGCCCAAACTGGCTCGATGGATGGTGACTCCGAGCTCAACTGATACCATTATTGGCTGGAATTGTGGCGTGTGTTGGCGGCAGGAGATTGGAGGAGGAAATCCATGGCCACCGTCGACGAGGATTCAACACTCGGGCACCTTGGACATCTCAGGGAGTGGGCAAACGACCTGTGACCGTAGACTAGCGGCGAGAGTGCTGGTTCCTGTTTCACCCACCTTTCCATCTTCCCATCATTGCGGTGGATTTGATGTCCTTTCGGGTCCCCGGAGGGCGAGTGATGTCAACCGTCGAGGCTTCCGCCTCTCTCCACCATCATCTTCCCTTCTGCCCTTCGCAATCCTTTGCCCCGACAATTGTATCCGTCTTTCTTCCGTTCTTCTTACGAAGCAACGTTAGTTTTGGCTACTCGCTCAAACAGCATCGTCATTTCTATAGCTGTAGTTTCCTCGATTAAGTTGGCACCAAAAGAGCATCATTTTCACTACTAAAACATCCATCCATCCATCCATCTTCTACCCCTTCCTAACTTGAATGTGACTCGATCTCGAAGAAGAGTCCAATGAGGCAGGAGAAGAATCTTGCTTATTGGAAGCCTGATATGTATATTATTCCACTTGCCTTTACGCCACCAGTGACAAAAGGTGTAGCATCATCTATGATGACTTGATAAAGTGGACATATTAATCTGCACTTGGCGGTGCAAGAAGGCCGTGTGCCCGAGCACCAACTGGTTCCTCGTTGTTTGTGCCATCTATAGCTCATAACTTTTATCAGTAGACTAAAGGGATCACCGAAACCCTTCTTTGGATCAGCACCATTGGCCACTAAAGGAAGAACCACCTCGACCTGTTCTTGGTGGCTATAAATGTGGGGGGAGTAGCTAGTGACCAGAAGGGAAGACGAGGACGACGACGATCGAGAGGCTTGGGCGAAGACGACAAAGAGGCGAAGTTAGCGATGGCGGCGAAGAACGAGGAGACGCGAAAGGGCCCATGGATGGAGCAGGAGGACCTCCAACTGGTACGGTTTGTGCGCTTGTTCGGTGAACGTCGTTGGGATTACTTGGCCAAGGTGTCAGGTTTGAGCGGTGGCGGGGACACAGGGCAACAGAGGTGAAACCTGGAAGTTACTGTGCTTAACCTGCATGGCTCCCATGTTGTAGGTCTTAACAGGTCAGGGAAGAGTTGCAGGCTGCGTTGGGTCAACTACCTTCACCCTGGTCTCAGGCACGGCCGCATGACCCCCGAGGAAGAACACCTTGTGCTCGAACTCCACGCCAAATGGGGCAATAGGTTTGGCAATGCAAAGATTCCCTCTCTTCCTCCAACTCCTCCGTCATCATTCATTCGCTTCTTGTGTCGACTCTAAAGAGGTGGACTGGGTGTGCTCCGTAGGTGGTCTCGGATCGCTCAATGCCTTCCAGGTCGAACTGACAACGAGATCAAGAACTACTGGAGGACTCGCATGAGAAAGAAGGCGCAAGAACGGAGGATGAGCACGTCCGCTTCGCCGTCGCCTTCGTCATCCTCGAGCAATATTTCCTCCTCTGCTAATGAGCCGCCACCGGACCTGGTGATGAAGAAGCGTGATGGGATGGAAAGCGTGGCTGTAGGCAGCTCTCTGACCCTAGGATTTGGAACCAACGAGGGCGTGATGGCGTACAGCATGGATCAGATATGGGATGAGATCGCTGCCACGGACCGCGTCAGTGGGTTGAGCACCGAAGAGCACAAGCACGGAGCTCGCAGCGTGGCTTCTCCCCTGTGGGAACACTGCTCTGCATCACCGTGGAAGGTTGACGATGAAGAGTTCGAGATGCCTACTCCCGCGGATGGTCTCGTAATCTCTAGCTTGTGATGAGTGCTACGGCTTGTGATGTGGTTTGCAGTGTAAGCTTTAATTAATAGGAGAGTGCAATGTGCTATTCCATGATTACCTTTTAAAATGAGTACTGACAGACGCATGTAGTAGTACTTGATGTTCCACACAATCTAAATGGAGCAAAACTTATTTTGTGATCATTCATGGTGGTGCTCGGTATGAGGAGCAAGAACATTACAAATAAGGTAAACCTTTTAGAGGAAGTACGAGGAGCAAAACATGTTTTGCTGCTTCTCTATTGCCTTGGGACATAACTTGCATGAAAGCAGCAGACTTGGTCGATGCATTAAGCCACACTATTCTCTGTTTGCAGACAGCACTTGACCTCAGTCTCTCCCACTTTTTTTGCTCCTGTGACCAAGTACCAACAGCTTCGACAAGAAGCTGAGGCTCCGAGAGGGACTTCCACGAACCATTTTCTAATGAAGGAATATGTGACAGCGGTGCTGATAAGCCATTAAACAAAAGAAAGAGTGATAAGGGAAATGCACTACGATCGTGTATTATCTTGGCATTATCCTCTCGACGTATCACCGCTGGCGCTACAGCACAGGATAAGGCTGAGATCATCATTCACAGTGTCCCGGCAAGCGATCAAACGCTGGACAATCCTCATCTCTTCCGGTCCTAATCTTGCGGTTGTTGCAGATCCATGCAGAAGCCAAGCGCAAGCGATTCGATATAATAATGAACCGTTCGTTGACCGGAAGAGGGGAGAAGTCAAGACATGCATCTCCAGTGAGCATTCATCCATCGATCTGGTCTTGATGCAAAGCTGTGTTTTGATAGTATCGTAAAATGACCTGCACTTTCTTGGAAGGAAGATGTCCATTAGATGGCGCAGAGAGAGGAGCATTGTTATTATTATCCTTCGTGGTGAACAAGTCGATAAGATTTGGCAGAGATGAGCCAACATCATCAAGCTTGAGTTGATCACGAACGATGCATATTATAGTTTCTTTAAACCAAATACAAATACAAGTCCCTTCGAGCATCGAATTCACTATAAAGATATCAGATAAATTCTTTACTGCTTCAGATAATACTTGAGAATTCTAACACTACAAGTTGGTGTTCTTGGATTGGAGCTCAAAGAAATCCATTCATGATTTGCAGGTTCCACTTTCGATAGGGAAACCCTTCACATATGCAACACATCGCCTGGCTGACGAGTGTGAGAATTATGTGACAGCACCACCCAGCATCTCTTCCGCTTAACCCACTTGTCTAGATTTCATGTCTGCAGAGTGCGCGAGCACCAGCGGGTAACAGTAGTAATCCAACAACTGTCGAGCGGCAGACAGTGGCCACTTGGAATTCCCAATGTTTGATCTGGATATTTCCGATGAACAAGGAGTCCACTAAACCCAAAAATAAATGGCCATGATCTATTTTACTTTACGATGCAGATGCAAACTAACATCAGCAGATAGGGTTTTGGTAAAGCAGCACTTTGGAGATGGATAGATAGTGTTGATAAAAAGAAGTCGTTGACATTTTAAAAGACGAAAATGTCGAGCTCTCCATATGTCACCTGAATGCATAAAGATCGAGGTCGAAATTTTTTTTTTTGAGTTTGATATCTCGAACAGTATAGTTAGTAACTTCAGATATATAAGTGTGTACATTGAACATGAATTGTCAAAATATATAATCCCCTTCTTATTATATTAAAGATAAAGAATTAAAATATTTTATGTCGGGCGATGATATCTAACGGTTGCCTTCGATAATCTTCCTTTGACATTTTATCAATGAGAATAGTAAAGAGTGATGGGATATAAAGAGAAATAACATTTGTATATGAACAAATATTAGCAGATCATAATATGCAGCAGAATTAAATGGAACCACAATCAAATAGAACACCAAGATATACATGGAAAACCTCTCTAATGTAAATGGTAAAAATCACGGGACAAACTAGAGATAATTCACTATAATAATAATGAATATATAAATCTCAATCTTTTGCCCAAAACCCTAGTAACAATCACAAAAGAATAACTGGGATACAAGGATCACGTCATTGTGCTCAAAATTCTAAATCCTCTCTAATTTTCCTCAAGTAATCACAGTAAGAATTTACTATAGATTTGATCTAACCTGAGATGATAACACTGCTGGATGATTGAGAATAGTCTCTCTACGTTGTCATTATCTTCTTTCCTTCATTTTTCTTGGATTTTTATCTTTTTCTCCTCCTTTTTGCTGCTGCAAGGATCACGCATGTTGCCCTCGTTGTTGCCTTATTTATACCTCTTTTCGCAGCTACCATACACCCCCTAATAAGGATTCAGGTTAGATTAAGAGAGGAGATGGGTTGTGGGCTGTTCAAGCCCACTATTGGCTGAATCATAGGCTGTCAGTCCAACAAAGGGGTGGGGGGCATTCCATAATCTTGTTCGTCTTAGATCTTTGCCCATGTGAGTAGACGAGCGGAGGATGACCTCTGTTTCTCTTTTTACCTTAAACACCATGTTAGATGACGTTTGATCGACGATGTTCTCTCTATCAGATAGAGACGTTAGAACGAAGGAATCTAGGAATGAATCAAGAATTTTGAGATTAGTTCTATAATAAAATTTATAGAATATATACATTTTAATTTACGTTGGAAAATATTTGAGTGTAGTAGGCTCGATCGACATGTGGAGGGAAGCGGGAAGCATGTGGCTATGAGTTGAAGCGTGCGACCTACGCCTCGTCGTGTAGTTGGATCCAACCACCGCGATCCCAACAGACCATGTGGCCTCTCACCCGCAACATATCAAAAGGTCAACATTTCCATGCCACAAACTTATATCTAGTCAAAATTAGTGCCTGTTTTTTTGAATATTAATTCCTATAAATTATGATTAATATTCGTTAATTTGTCGTAACGTGAGAATTAGCTGGAATTTTGATGGAAACAAACGCGTACGTACCTCCCTCATAGGCGTTAATTCGTGGGCCGACGAATCGACACGATCCAAACTAAGTCGATGATGATGATGATGACGACAGATGACGATTACAAGATATATCGCACCAACAATTTTATTACGTTGTTTTCGATCCACAGCCGTCGCTTTCCATCAAATTCAACGAAATTTATTTTGACCGTATGATTCACGAGAAGTTATGGGCGTTCACACGCTCCTCGTTTAAATTATGTGAAGCTCACACGGAGGGTAGGGACGAGGCACGTGCGACCGACGCTCCGCTCCGCCCGCGGCGGCCTCCCACGTGCCGTCCAACGCGGGCGTCGCGACGCGTGCGACTCCGCCGCCTTGTCCGGTTGCGCGCCGCACGCGTACGTGGGCCAATGGGAGGCCGGAACACACCTGGCGCGCACCTGATCTGCCTTCTCCCCGCCATGTTCGCGCCGGCTCATGATTAGGACGCGGATTGCTTCCTTCTGCTCCATCCCCCTCCAAAAGCCATCCAAATGTGAAGGACCACACGCTAAACTCCTAATTTAATGCGCACCATCTAACCTTATCCGGTGCCCTGATTTAATGCGCGAGGAGGTGGATTTGGCATGTAATCAATCTTCTTCTTCCGCTAGATTCCTTGCTTGGGGAACATGGTTACGACACAGGCTTAGGAGCCAAGAAAAGAATTGCAGCTTTTGGGTGAGGGAGTGGGAGCCACGGGATTAATGAGGCGACGGGTAAAGCCGTTGCGTTATCACGAAGCATTGGAATTGGGGATCGGAGGTTAAAAGATCGGAAAGCAAGGGGAGGAGGTCGCCTACTTGGTGGACCGGAGTTCCGTCTCTCCGGTGGTGGTGGTGGTCTTGAGGCCACTCATTAACCGGTGGAGTCGAGATCTGTAGGGGCCTCATCGTCATAGCAAGAGCGATGATAAGTCCGTGGCGTGGGCCAATCGATCCCCACCTTGCGTCTTGTTTCTTGTCCAGGTACATCTTCTCCTGTCAGCTAAACGTACCACTGGAAGTGACATTATAACAAGCACCTTGGCGTCATCCCATGCTACATGTTCGTCTCTTGACTCCTGAACAAGATGGTCAGACATCAAACCAAGAACGAGAAGCCACAAAGGACGTGGGGAAGGTGCAACAAAGGCACCAAAACCAAGTGCCATAAATAAAGAGAGAGGGAGAGAGAGGAGCTCAGAGATGGCAAGATCCAATGAACAAGACACCCCCAGATTCTGGTGTCGCAAGCAAGCCAAAAACGAGTAGAGCTACGGTTGTTGTCCCGCAGGAACAGAACATGGGGAAGAAATATAGTGATGGTGGGGGAATCCGACACCCACATGCTGCTGCATCTTGTCAGCTTCCGTCCTCGAGTATCGACCCCATTGCCGCTCCCCTCTCGACCTTTTTTTCCTCGGGTTTCCAATCATTTGCCTACCAACACCCACCATAATTTCTATTAGATTCCTAACCCAAAGAAGAAGAAGAAGAAGAAGAAGAAGAAGAAGAGAATGTACATTGAGCAGGTCAACCCTGGGATTAGCTTCTTCTTTGTCTTGTTTCCCTAGTAAAATAATGGCCACTGGAAATCCGGGGGTACTGTAGCATCTACATGTGGAAGGAAGATGATAGATAGATAGATAGATAGGTTTTAATCTTCCTCCACTATTTGTAAGGCTTAAGTTGGTAGAATTAGTAGGAATAAGTTCGTCGATTAATGCATTGACTTGCACCATTCATATGCCATGCTATTTTGCTGTCGAAGCTAAAAGTTCCGAAAGACAAAATACGACTTCGGGTCAGTCGTGCCGTATGGAAATGGTCCGCGAATTTGACGCTCGGAGATCTTACTGCGGTCATAATTCCAAGTCAAAACCTTTGTGGAATCTACTGGCCATCCCCTCATCATCTCTCAGGACCGAAGCTACGAAAAGAATAAGAGAACACCGCAAAAAGCATACCATATGAAGTCACCGCTTACCATTCATGTACTCCGTATGTGTCGAGAAAGAGAGAGAGAGAGAGAGAGAGAGAGAGAGGTCATACTGGTGGGACAGGCAGCCTTGCCTTGAAGGACGGAGAGGATTCCTGAGAGCATCATATAAGGGCATCATATGGCAAGCTCCCATCCCACGGATGACAGAATTGCACATTCCTTTTATTTCTCGATTCAAAAAGAAACATTCTCCCTCCTCTTCTCTTCTCTTCTCTTCCAATCCGAGTATTATATATCTCGTCTTGAGGCAGAGGACCCTCTGTACCAACAAAGGGCCCATATAAGGAGCAGAGGAGGCTGCGTTATCTGCAGCAGTAGATCGTGTGGTGATGGGTGTCGATCACTGGACTCTCGAAGAGGTCACCATGGACTCTGGCTTTCCTTCTGTCTGGGGGTTTCATGAGGTCAGTCATCGTTCCTCTCTCTTTCTCTCTCTCTCTCTCTCACACACACACACGCACACACGCGCGCACATAAACTTGGAGATGGCTTCTCTTTTACTTCTGTTGGTGTTGCCGTCTGCATGGATCGGTACTTGTCACTGATGCTTTTGGCTTCTGTGTTCGCCTGCTGTTTCTGAAATGGGGTTCAGCTTTCCACGAGTGTTCTGTCGTGCTGTAAAGCTTTCGAGTTAGGCTCGGTTTTGGTAAGGATCGACCACAAAAACATGTGATCTCGTGAAGAGAGGCTGTTTAGCTTCTTTTCATTACATAGGGGAAGGGGGGGTTTGGTGAGTGGAAAATGTTGACCTTCGTCGTTCGTCCGTAGCCTTCATGTGCCGGAAAGATTCTTGCTACCTCATTATTCTGCTCGCTCGATGCGAACTCGTGGAGGTCTAGCAACTTTTAGATTCTTGCCTGGTACAAGAAGTTGGTGCCGAGTCGCCTTCCCATGGACCAAAAGCTTTTAGATGGAACCCCGTCATGTTCTTAAATAGTTGCTTCGGTTTCAGATCCAGTGTGGGGTGTGAATGATATCCAGCATCATCCTACCTTCATCGGTCGCCAATTTATGGTGTCTGCTGCTTGAATGTTTGCGTTAGGATCAGCCATGGAGTTGGCTGCTCGACTGGTGCAGTGATTCTCCGGTCCTTTTTTCTGTCATCTCTGCTCTGTTTCTCCTCTCGCTGAATCGTTTTCTGCTTTCCTTCCTTCCTCGAACAGGGCATCGAGGACTTGAAGCATAAGCTTCTGTGTGCGACGTCGGAGCTGGAAGCGCTGCGGGCCAATGCCAAGGAGGAGATACGGAAGAGCGAGGAGAACATCGAGCAGTTGATCCACCACCTCCAAGTGATCACCCACGAACGAGACGTGGCGAGGGATCAGCTGCAGCTCGTCCTCAACAAGATCACGCTGCCTGACAGCCCGCAGATGAGGCAAGCGAGAGGGAGTAGCAGCCTCACCGAGTCCGATAGCCTCTCGGGGGCTCCCAACCACCATTCTTACGGCGCATCTCCCGTCGATTCCTTCTTCGACAACGTGGGTTCTCCAGAACTGTCGAGCATGGGCAGACCACAGCGGCAAGCCTCTCAGAGCAGCCCCAACTACGACCGGGCATCCGCGGTGGTCGATGGCCTTGCGATGAGGAAGCCATTGCCACGCAAGGGGAAGCTGCTGCAAGCGGTTCTGGAAGCAGGTCCTCTGCTGCAGACCCTTCTCCTAGCAGGGCCGCTCCCTCAGTGGCGTAATCCTCCACCGCTGCAACCATTTCAAGTTCCTCCCATGGCCGTCAAACTCCACAACGCTTCACCGCCCAACCAAAAACCTGCAGTGAACGCAAGCAGCAATTTGGCTTACGCTTCTCCTCCGAACGCATTTTACCGTGACACCCACGTTTACGGCCTGGCCGTGTCGAATACAACACCGAAGAGACCGACGACCTCGCAATGTCTGAAAGGCTTCGAGGAGCCGAGGATGAAGAGACAAAAGACTCAATGTATGTGAAGGAGACGGTGTTGGCGTAGTTAGGAACCCATATAGTCTTGAGATTACAGTTCATGTCGTGTGTTCTGTCATGTTCACGATGTAAAGAGCAGGATTTTGTGTTTCCTTATCTTTCTCTGGTCTGCCTTTTTCTGTTGTTTGCCTCGATGATGCGAAAGCTTTAACTTCACCAATGATATTGATAGAAGACTGTCTATTTCGTTTGTGTCAGTGCATGTTATAATTAACACCAAATCTTATCGATTTCATCCCAACATCGGTGTTCGAGCCTTGTCCACGATTTTTGCCGCATTGTTCTACCGTCGATCGTCGGCTAAAACACCTCGCACGAGCATTTCATCAAACAGGTGGTCCGGGAACGGGCTGTACCATACTGACCGATTCACAAAGTGGGCTGTACCACAGCCTTATCAAGAGATGTTGGGGTGATGGGCCACCCTCTGTGGTCGCCGTAAGCTATGCAAGTGAGCCCAACACCTCACCAACACCATGATGGTTCCAAGAATTCCACATGCGGCAAAAGCGACGGCGGAGGCCGACGATCGCCGTGGCGGAGATGCGGGAGCGGGGTGCGGTTAGGCTGCAACAATCCCCGGAGTTTGATCAAGAAGAGGTGAGGGATCGTGCCATCCGTGACGAGGACCCTGTCGATAAATACACGCGTGCTTGATGAGATGTCGGCACCCGGGGGAGGTCACGATTATCGAAAAATATTACATCTCAAGTAATATAAAAAAATAATGATCAAAGATCCAATATGAATTGCACAGAAATAGGAAAGATTTATGTGATAGGACTCTTAACAATACATCTTGAAATCACAAATGGATCTATAATTTAGGTTTATATTGAAAAAAAATAGATATTAGACACTTCAAAGACTACAAATCCAATGGCTAGGGAAGCAATGATCTATGACAGGAACAATGGTAACCAACCCTTACTATACTGTATGAGCATCCACCAAGTGAAAGAATAATACCAGGAAGTAATGATAAATGGTGTGTTGATGGGGAGGTGACTAATCTCAACCTTCCCCAAAAAGAAAAGATGTAAGAAAGAAGAGCTAGAAACAGTTCCCTTCTCATTTACATGACCCCTTTTGGGTTTCTCACCTTATCTACCTCTTTTTTTTTTTTTGTTTCTGTCTTGGTTTTGGGAGTGAAAAGGCAGAGGAATTGCTCTGGGCATCTAGAGTTGCCACACCATGATCCTGGAGCAGTCAGCTGGAATGCCCTTCAACTTGGTTTCATCTTCCAGGATGACATCATGCACAAACTTGATTGAATCCTGAAATTAGGGTCAATGTAGATGTAAGTGATCAAATATTAGAAACCGATAGCAGGTATGGAAGCTGTCGCGTGGATTAGCCACCATCGATTGGGACAAAGCCACGATTACCAGTCCTAGTCGAAGGTCCCTTGCGCTTGTCTTGCTATCAAGAAGAAAGGAGGATAAGTTGCTAAACATTTTCTCAGGCTAATAATTGAGGAAGGTTGCTGTCAGTTTGGTGGTTGGCACTTAATAACCTTTCAAACACTTAACACCAAAGGATTAATATGTAATGAATGTTATGTATGTGACGGTGACTTGCTAAAATTGGACAACAAAGTCGGTTAATGATAAACCAAAGAGATCGAGGTGATGCATGAAGTTACAAAGACGTCTTAGCTACTAGTCACTAACTCATTACTCCAAGATCAAAGTAGGAAAGGAACATATAATAGCCTATTACCGTGCATGACAAAGGATGGACCAACAAGAACGAGGATAAACTTTTGTCTCTATTTGACCATTAAAGTCAGGAAAAGCAGAGTTGTTCTCTTTAACAACACAATGCCTCGTAGATCTCTATCACCACATGTCCGTCGTATGTCTGTCGGGTACATAAATGCTCATACAAAAACTTTGCTTAAGAAAATCGTAGTTTAATCTTATGCAGGTAATCTTGAATAAATTTAACTTTTGGTGAAGCCCTGATCAAAAGCTAGCTAATCAGTGACAAAAAAAAGTACATATCTGATTTTATGATCCTTACGCGACAGCAATATTTTCTTGTGATATTTATCAGAAAATGATAGGGACTAACCTGTGATGTGTCGGGCAATGAGGTAGGGCGACCCCACCTCTCGGGATCCCATAATATCGAGCTATTGAATCCAAAGCCAGAAATATTAATCTTTGGAGGTTTCTGGTTCAAGTCTGTGCTAGTCACCAACAACCTTTTGTCATCGCTCAAGTCCTTCAAGATCCACCCTTCAACCTTCGATGAATGACAAATTGGACCATCCAATGCTGCTCTCTTCCTGTTTGTCGACATGACAGCCACTGTCCATGTCCCAAAAGCCCTGGAATCGACTTAAGAGGGATTAGCAGCTTATTGAATTGGCACTTCAGAGGGAGAGTTATGAAAACAAATGTGCCATTGGGACAACTAGCATGACGGTTTTGAACAGAACACCTAAATCTAAAGCTAGATCACTGAAAAAGAAATCTTGGCAATTTTTTTGTTTTTCTTCCTAGAACAATTCCACAGAGGAGTTAAATCGAGCTTCTTCGAGAGAAGCGAGATCGGTAGAATTAGATTCCCCAATCAAATTCTATGTTTTCGGAGATGTTTTAAACAATGATGGAATTGAAAAAGGACAGAAGAAAGATATCTAGACTTTATTGGTCTTGTGATTTGTGAGACCTGGAACAAGGAAAACATGAAAAATACATCGAAACTATAATAGGTTCCTCAAGAAATTAGTTTAATAAACCTTTTGTTATTTCTTTGGCCTTTTCGACAACAACAATAAATATTTTTAGGAAATATAATGGTCAGAGTTCCCAAATACTGCAACAAAAAACAGGCAAAACTACATCGGTAATCAATCAACAAAGCATACTGTTTCTTTCTGGCAAAGCTCATCCTAAATTAAACATATGGGGGCATACGATACTTGGCGTATTTCGCACGGCACTTTCATCGAGTATACGAAGTAGATAAATGCAAACTACGAGTCCTATGAATGGAAGCCTCGTTGAACACAAAACAAGGGAAGAAAATTTGGGACAGTAACATCAAACATATAGCTCAAACTCCCTAAGTTTTAGTCGTTCAGGAAAAGAAGTCCATATTTTTCTACCCTCAGAACCTCATGATTTACTCACATACGAGCAGAATTTGGAAAAGCACAGGAGAAGAAAAGCACACACTGGAACTCGATTCCCTCACCATCATGAAAAGGAAAAGATTGTGAACATAGGAGACTTGAGGTGTGCAAAGATCTACCAGTGATTAGCAATTGAAAGGTCAAAGTCTGTAGAAAGAAACCAACTTTTTTGCTTTTTCTTCAGCAATATTTATTGAAGATTAGAGCTTCTCTCTCGATGCATCATCAGATTAAGATGCTGAGAGATTTCCACCGATTCCATCTTTTAGCTCTCCTTCCTTGTTGTATAGTTAAATGCATTGAGATGTAAAACTATTCGCTTGCTGCTAATTAGCTTATAAGAGAAGAAGAAGAAGAAGAAGAAGAAGAAGAAGGGAAAGGGAAGAATGCTCATACTCGATCTCTCTGATCTCATCAAAGAATCTGAGATCGTAGACGTTCGATGCGGCGGCGAAGAGCACGATCCCAGCGAGACGGTGGTATTCGACGTGGCTGAGGGCGACGTTGCGCTGGTGGTCGGCCTCCGCCTCAGGGTCGGTGAAATTCTCCATGAAGGTCAGGTGTCTGTACACGACCCCGGTGGTCCGCAGCATCTCGGCGGTGGCGAGGGCGTCGGCGTGGGCTTGGACGACGACCCACAGCAGCGGCGGCGGGACCAGGCGCAGGGTGTGCGCCAGCCGCCGCAAGTACGCACCTTGGAGCCGGTCGTTGGATCGGGTGGTCGTCACAACGATCAGCAGCCGCCGTGACGGCGACTGCGGCTCGTGACCCCGCCCCACATCCTTGGGAGGCGGCGGATTGGCGTCGCCCTCAGGCAGGACGGCGGCCGGGAAAGATCTCGGGATCTGGATCAGGCTCGCGTCGATGACCCTCTCCATGGGGTCGACAGGGGCGGAGGGGACGACGCCGACGCTCTTGACGGGGCGGTGGTGGAAGAGGGTGGCGGTGCTGTGGGGCGCGAAGCCGGTGAAGAAGCCCATCACGAAGCAGAGGGAGAAGTGCACGAGCGCCTTCTTCAACAGGTGGCTCCTCTTCTTGGATCGATCCAGCGACCCCATCTCCCTCGCCGTGTCGAAGAAGAATATGGGAAGGCAATTGAATCTTCAATTCCTCGTCCAGAGGAAGCGAGGAATTTTTATACGCAGTGAAGCTGACGGCCGTTGCGGACAGACAAAGGAAGATTGAAAGCTGCAACTTTTATTGGGGATTAATACGAGGAAGGTAAATAATGTGTTGGTGGCCCCCTCCGTGTCTGTTAGTGTGGTGCGGTATGTGTGTGCGTGTTTGTGAGTGTGAGAGAGAAAGGGCACCTAACTTTTCACGCTCTGAGGTCTCGAATCGATCAGAAGGGGCACCAAATCCCTAATTCGTGACGAGACACGCTCAATTCAGCCATCAAAGGTTTCTTTGGGAGAGAGAGAGAGAGAGAGACGGAGAGGAAGAAGAAGACAAAGAGACGGTGCGAGTGTTGACTTGGGATGTGTTGAAATCGGACCGCAGCCGAATTTGATTCGAATCCATTACCACATTTCTTCCACGAAGGCTGAAAGATTACGTAAGTCAAATCTCCACCAGCATTTAGACCTCCAGGAATGAGAGAACATCGAAGAGCTTCCTCCTCCTCCTCCTCCTCCTCCTCCTGTGCTGCATCTGAAGCTTTCGTTCTCGATGCACGACCAATAAGAGTATGCATGCTCTTCTATTACCTCTGCTCGTCTTGAGCTAAGGAACGATGAATACTACACCATAAGACGGTTGACACAGATTGCCAGCAGAAAGAAAGTCAACAAGTGTTTCGCCAGCCATTCATCCATCATCCTCTCTCCTCACCATATGTCAACTCACATTCCAATTATTGTTAGCCTGAGATTTGATCCCTCTTTTCATCGTCATGGATTCCATCTGTACATGCACAACCGGTCATTGTCACGCCAGCTCGTAGCAGTCTTTGACTTCTTCTTCGCATCAGAGCTTGACGCCATGGGGATTGGTGGTTCCAAGTCGCCTTCCATCTTGCCGACCCGTCAAGAATTGACCATCGAACTATGAACCAAAAACATTATATTTATGCAGCATTTTCTTGTTTACACATGAAATATATACTACTCAATTATACATGGGTTTCTTTTATTGTACGTGTGATACATCTTCTCTCTCTCTCTCTCTACGTCGGATTCATGGTGAAGTCAAACGGGAATTATTCCTTAGCTACGTATGTCGCGTGAGCTTATCTCCTGTATTGTTTTTCATGATGGTTAATTTGATATGATAAGCCTTTTGAATCATATCATAGTCGATAATAATTTTAAACTTGATGCAAAACTTTTGAACTCAAAGATCATTGATGTAGATTTTAGAGGAGTTTTTTTTTATTCTTTTGAGTACACAAAAATTTTCAAATATATTTATTTTTTTATTCTAAATTTTATCAAATTTTGATAATAATGATATCATCGATCAATCATCATTCGGCACGTAATCTCTAAGCTGAAAAAATAAGATAAGAATTACCCCTCACTAATCTTTCCATGTGAACATGAGTCTATGGCAGACAGTTGTATGTTGTCTTCAACTTCTATAACCTATATGGACAAAAGACTTGTTAGTTTATTATTAGGTATAAATGTTCACTTATAACATAGTAACTAGAAATCATTTTTTACCATTCAATATCATACTTACTTATCCATACTTCGGACATCCATATACACATTAACGATATCTTCTCATAATATATTTATTTTAAGCTCATTTTTTCTTGGTCTCACTCCAAGCCATTAGATTAAATATCAGGTTGACATGCGAAGATTTGTTAAATGAGTCTTTTAATTTGTGCTCTACTTCAAATCAACAAAGCTCGTATAAGCTTAATATTTTGCTCCCAAACATGGAATCAAATACAATTAACGTATCACAATAAAAAAAATATCGTAATAAATATGTATCTTTTAACACCATCTATTTTTACCGAAAACAAAAAAAAAATCTCGATAGAAGAAAATAAAATCTTGACTAAATTAACAAGTTGATTAGAGCATTCCAACAACATCGGTTTTGACCGTTAACAATTCAGACGATACATTGCATTTTGTATTTCACTTTTTGTTATGTTTTCATAGCTTGATTATTAGGAGAACTAATCTCTTCCTTAGCAGAGTAGACCATTAAACCAAAATCTATTTTCTCATGATTTCGAAGGCACAATTGAGATCTAGGTTTTTTATTTTTGGTATAGTTGGACATTTAAAGTATTTTATTTTCTGATAATTTATAGGATATAATCGAGTTAAATGCTGATAATCCATTTTTTCTTGCACAAAAAGAAAATCATAATTTCCTATCTCATCGAGATGGACTACATTCATACTAATATTATTCTAAAAATAATTAATTAAAGCAATACAAATTATCATATATATATATATATATACATATATAAAAGATTTGGAGGGACAAATACGCTATATTCAAATTTCGAAAGGACAGATACGTAAAACCGCGCCTCCGCTAATTAATGCGAGAGGAAGGGTTCGGTCAAGTCATCTATTAGGATACCTCGACTAGGATTGGCCAGAGATGGGGGCCCACTATGCATACGTGCTAATTGGGTGGGTTCAGTGTGTGTTTTCGGGGCGTCTCGGTTCCGTATCGGTTGGGCACAGCAATGCTTGCTATTACCTATAAAACCCCTCTCTCTCTCTCTCTCCGCCGCCCCATCTCTCATCCCCGTCGTCTCCTTCCCTGTTTCTTCTCCAGCGCTCGATCTCCACCCTCCGCCTCTCACAAAAATAAAGAAAAAATAATTCCCCACCCTTTCCACACCCCCGCGCACGCGCCAACTGCCAAACAAATAAAGGTGATCACCGCAGTCCTCCTCTTTCCCTCGCCATCGCCGGCCTCCCGTCGTGATCTGCTGTTCCTTTTCCGTGACCTTTGTTTGGGATGGATCTAGGGTTTCGGCGGCGCCTGCAGCGAGAGGGCAGGAAGGATGGCGGAGGCTCCACCGGCGAGCCCCGGAGGCGGAGGCGGGAGCCACGAGAGCGGCGAGCAGAGCCCTCGAGCCGGGGTTGGCGTCCGGGAGCAGGATCGGTTCCTCCCGATCGCCAATATCATCCGGATCATGAAGAAGGCGCTCCCCGCCAACGCCAAGATCGCCAAGGACGCCAAGGAGACCATGCAGGAGTGCGTCTCCGAGTTTATCAGCTTCGTCACCAGCGAGTGAGATCGTAGTCCTGTTTCTCGTGGATTGGTTGTTTTTCTTGCCTTTTTTTGGCTTTTCTTTGATCTCGATGGTCGGCTATGATGCAGGGCGAGTGACAGATGCCAGAAGGAGAAGAGGAAGACGATCAACGGGGACGATCTGCTGTGGGCGATGGCGACGTTGGGGTTTGAGGAGTACATCGAGCCACTGAAACTGTACCTGCAGAAATATCGTGAGGTACTCTGCTCCTTTCGGGGTTACGTTTTACCTTTTAATGTATTTAGCGATCATTCTTGATTTGGTTTTCTTTTGTGTTTGTCCTTTTTTGTTTCGATGGGGTGGACTTCATTGCTGCAACTATGGTGCTATAGTTGGAGGTAATCGTTTCCTTTCCTTGTCTTGCGTAATCTTACGACATTGCACGAAGGTACTTAATACGTGATGTCTGACGATAATAAATCGTCTGCCCAGGGTGGAGAGGGGTCCGCCAGGAGAGAATTAGGGGGTTCGCAATCTGGAACAGGCACGACAGGGGAGTACCAGGTACATTTTCTCCAATTTGATTTGTTACTCCTGCTATTAATGGGTATTAGTTGCTTTGTTTATAGAAATGATTCGTGCTTAATTGAGAATGACCATGCAGGCTCCTCAACAAGGTCCTTTTACACAAAGCTTGGATTATGTAAATCCTCAGGTAATTATTTCTTTCAAGTGACCATTTCAAAGTTTTGGAATCTCTAATTTGTGACTGAATAAGATATTCACTATATTAAGTTTTGGATCCTTTTAGCATACAGTGATAATTAGCTTTTTCAGTAATATGTAATTTATAATCTTCCATTTTGCAAGAATAGCTTTGAGTTTGAGAGAGTGTAGCTTTGTGCAACGATTGCGTTGCTCCGTTGCAACCTGTGTGATCGGGGTATGGGTAATGGAAATATAACCTTTACTAGAAGGATAAAGTTGTGTACATTAACCCTCCGTACCCCACATTGGAGGGAGTCCAGTGATCTTGGTTGCCCAGGCTTGGGCTGCATTTAATTATCCTATAAATTCTTTGACAAGTGTCCTTTCTTGGTTAATGAATGATAAATGTGACAAAGTACTACAGGTGCTTAAACATTTTTTTTCACTTGAAGCGACGATCACCTTGAGGTGAATGAGTGAGAAGCAATTAAAATGCATTCTTTCCCCTAGATTGTCATGCACTGGGAATGAATGGCCTTTTTGATTAGAAAGATACTTACTAGATAACGCTTGCTTCCAACTAAGCTTAACAGCATTTGGTACTCGAATGTAGGTCTCTATTTGTTTTCTGAGCTAAAAGATATGCAAGTATGCGGGGTTAGATCACTTGGTTTCAGTCTTGCATGACATTTTAGTGATCTTGCTTCTTGGACCTTATAATTTTAATGTTGTATAAATTTTGAAAAAATATTCTTTCAATGTTTGATCATTTGTAGGTGGACTTTGTCTAACCACCTCTTTGCAATGCTGCAAATGTGTACTTGCATGGTAATGAGACTAAACATTTGCAAATATGATGTTCCAATCAACTAACAGAAATTTTTATATTTACAAACAAGAAGCATTGCATTAGACATGCCTGTGTTACAGCACTAGCTCTAGGGGGGTGATATTTCCCCTTTGTTTTTTTTTTGTATCTCATAACTGCTAATTATATATGTAGTCTTGTATAAGGCATATTTGAATACTTCTGGTTTCACCTTCCTTAAGGTGACACTATGAACAGTTTTCTTCTACAGGTGTCACTAACCTTAGTTCACTGATCTAATAGTTTTAGCCATAGAGTTACGAGTGTTGCCTTAACAGCGAGACCCGTGTTTTTAGGTACCTTACCTTGAATGTTTAGACTACTAGTTTGCCAATATGCTTTTCTGTTCTTTGAGCACTATATGCTGCAGGATTCCGTCTAATTTGTCGGCTGCATGTGTCATTTCCTTCCATTTAACTCTCTTCGTCACAACATCTCTTAGTACACAAACAATTTAATCTCTTTCTACTATCCTTGTTATAAGTTTTGAGTTGTCAATCCAATAAATCAATGATAATGCTTTTTGTTCGAGGCAAGATTTGTCAAGCAATTGCAGGTCTACATCAGTTAAGGCTGCTAATCTTCTTTCAACTCGAGTGCATGCAAAATCTTCATGTATCAGAAGTACCAGCAGTCTTACAAAACTTGGGACCTTTCTTATTTGGTCTCAGTTCCACATGTTTTCTGTACATTCTTAAACAACTTGAGGTCCTGTGATGATCTGAAGCACATTAAGAAAAATAATCGATGTCCTGTTTAGCAACATTTATCGTTCAATGTCGGGTTCAATGTCAGGTATACGAGTGGAGTGATTAGACAATCTTCTAAAAGAATTAACTTCTCTTTTATTAATGTGACTCTGATTGTGGGAATTTCCTCTAACACCCTTGAATCCACTATGCCGAAATACTGTGACAATATTTTGATTTAAGGCCTGATCTTCCTGGGATTATGATCCAAATTCCTCTTAGCTTATTACAAATTGTGCTTCCAAAATCTGTCTGGTAATATTTCTGTGACGCCTATTTGACAAGCTACTCTGTCCTGCCATTTTAACTGTTATAATGAGAGTGGCCTGCAATAGAGGAGTTCAATGTGTGCCTGAGGACCACTTCATCCTCATGCATCATCAGGATCTTTAGATCCGAAGTAGTACTTTCCTTTTTATATAACAGTATACTGTTTTTATTTATAATGGGATGTTCATGGCGAATGATCATCTGCCCATATAGGGGCACGTCCAAATACTAGTTTCATGTAGTCAAACATCTTTTGCTGTAGTAAAGTTGCAACTCATTCTAAAATATGTAACAGCATTGCATTGACCTTGTTAATCTTATGCTCTCCATGGATCAAAATCATGTGTCTTTAGAAATTGATATACTGTTATTCAGATTATCATATACTCAGACATGCTGTATGTATGTCTATCATGCTTATTTGATCTCAAAACTTGATGGAAATTAGGTTATGACATACCTTGCTTTTTTGTGCATTATGATGATGTAATGCTCTAGATCTGTAGCTTTTTTGGAGAAATGTGGCTGTGATGTACTAAATGTATGGTAATTAAGAAATTGACAAGGTTGTGGTGGTTTAAAATATACAAGGTTGGCTTTCCGTGTTATTTAATTATTTATTCATTTCCAGTTGTCGGAGCTTGTACCTCTAGTTGGCTAAAATTATTGTAACCATCATTTTTTCAATTAGTACATTGTGGTAAAATATTACTTTTCTCTCTCTCTTTTTTTTTTTTTGGGTTGCATCTTTCATGCCTCAGCAAATATAGTTAGTTACTTCTGAGATAGTGAGATTGATTATCTTTTTTGAATTACAAATTGTAGTGTTATAATGGGGATCTCTGAACCTGGAGATTTATATTCTGATATTCCATAGTCACTTATTCATTCAGGTAATGTTTTTGATTTCACTGTATGTTGACTTAGGACTGCAGTTGTTACTCTTGCTGCAAATAAGCTGAAAATGATAGCTTCTGGATGCAATTTTCTTTTCTAGATATTAAATTTTGATTTTACTATTGTTTGAAAGAACTACTTGTTTGTTCAATTTATTTTGCTACATCTTTATTTTCTTTTTAACATTTGAAATTGTGACGATTCTGATTTGCAGTTTAAATGGTTTTATGCAGGCACAACATCATCTGCTTAAGGAAAGTAGAATTCTTTTTTGAGATATTTGATTTGCTGAAACTATGACAGACTAAACATCAAATTTCTATCTCTCTCTCTCTCTTTTTCCGTGGACTATTTCATAGAAGTGGTTACCATACTTCATAAGAATTAAAATATATTGCAATTGCCATGATGTAAATATTTTACCTACCCCATTTCATAGAAGTGGTTACCATCTAAGTATACTGATATATTGGTGCTTTACATGAGTTAATAATATCGGTCACTTCTGGTCAATGTTATATGAGCAATATTTTTGTTCCCCTTACTTTTTTTGTTGTGACACGGCGGCATCCGAAGGGAAAGGAGGTGGTCCATATAGGAATCACAGAGCAACATTTGCTGCCTCGACCAGGTATTGTTTTCACCTTGCCAGTCTAGAATATATATATATATATATATATATATATATATATATATATATATATATATATATATATATATATATATATATAT